AGCCGTGACAAATGACACAACTGGTCTAATAGGATAGTTCTCTTTGTGTAATTTTATTAAAGAATAAAGTTGTGGTGGTTGAGGGTTCATTTGTATTAGTTTGAATTTTTCTCTAGAATCAAAAATTGCTGTTGAAATCTGAATATTACGTTTTAGTTCTTTTTGATATTTATCTGTTGGATCAAATTTGAGTATGCTATAATTATTGCTTGCTTGTAAAAATGAAAGAGTTTTGTCAATATAATCTATATTATTAATAGCAATTACTGTATTTCCCTTATCGGCACGAGTGAAAATGATATCATCCTGTTTTGTTTTATCCTTTATAGTTTTAATTAACTTACTGTCTTGATTTGAATTGTTATTACGTAAAAATTGTGTTTTAATTATATTTGCAGTATGATATTTGTGAGACAAAGTATTATATGAATCTTTTAAAGCAATTTCTGTTTCTATTCCCAAAATTTCTAAGTTCGAAGTATTTATCTTAGGTTCGATGTTGTGTTTAAACCCTTTTTCTATTAGAGATTGTTCTGGATCAGAGAAATTTGTGGTGGTTAAGTTAACAAATCTTTTAAAAAATGTATGATCCGATATTTTATTTGTGTTCTGTTCTGATTTTTGTTTAGTTATTATGGATTTTTTAAAAATAAGTGATTTTAATTTTTCCTGTTGTCTAATAAATTTTTTGTGAATAATTTGACTAATCTGCTCCCTAATGTTTTTATCTACAATTTCAAATTCTATAAAATGTAATCTGTGAGATAATTCAGCATGTATTACCTTAGTGTATATGTTGAAACAATCTCTTTTGGAATATTCTTTTTTCTTATCTTCTGACAACCACTTCTTTAATCCTTTCTTATCTTCTGACAACCACTTCTTTAATCCTTTCTTATCTTCTGACAACCACTTCTTTAATCCTTTCTTATCTTCTGACAACCACTTCTTTAAAAGAAGCAGGATTAAAGAAGTGGTTGTCAGAAGATAAGAAAAAAGAATATTCCAAAAGAGATTGTTTCAACATATACACTAAGGTAATACATGCTGAATTATCTCACAGATTACATTTTATAGAATTTGAAATTGTAGATAAAAACATTAGGGAGCAGATTAGTCAAATTATTCACAAAAAATTTATTAGACAACAGGAAAAATTAAAATCACTTATTTTTAAAAAATCCATAATAACTAAACAAAAATCAGAACAGAACACAAATAAAATATCGGATCATACATTTTTTAAAAGATTTGTTAACTTAACCACCACAAATTTCTCTGATCCAGAACAATCTCTAATAGAAAAAGGGTTTAAACACAACATCGAACCTAAGATAAATACTTCGAACTTAGAAATTTTGGGAATAGAAACAGAAATTGCTTTAAAAGATTCATATAATACTTTGTCTCACAAATATCATACTGCAAATATAATTAAAACACAATTTTTTACGTAATAACAATTCAAATCAAGACAGTAAGTTAATTAAAACTATAAAGGATAAAACAAAACAGGATGATATCATTTTCACTCGTGCCGATAAGGGAAATACAGTAATTGCTATTAATAATATAGATTATATTGACAAAACTCTTTCATTTTTACAAGCAAGCAATAATTATAGCATACTCAAATTTGATCCAACAGATAAATATCAAAAAGAACTAAAACGTAATATTCAGATTTCAACAGCAATTTTTGATTCTAGAGAAAAATTCAAACTAATACAAATGAACACTCAACCACCACAACTTTATTCTTTAATAAAATTACACAAAGAGAACTATCCTATTAGACCAGTAGTGTCATTTGTCACGGCTCCATCAGTTAAACTTTCACACACATTAATTAAACTTATACAAGAAAACTGCAAATTCAATTCAAAGTATAGTATAAAAAATTCTTATGAATTAACAGAAAAATTAAAAAACATTAAATTACCTAGTAACACAAAATTAGTATCGTTCGATGTAACAAACTTATTTCCTAGTATACCTCCTAAAGAAACAGTTAAGCTAGTAGAAAACTTATTAGATCGTAATCAAGTCAATATTATAATCAAAGAAGAAATCCTAAATTTGTTAAACATTTGCCTAAAACAAAATTATTTTCAATTTCAAAATAACATCTACTCAGCAAATGAAGGTCTTATTATGGGGAACCCATTAAGCCCGTTGCTTGCAGAAATATTTATGGATAATATAGAAAATAAAATTCATAGCAATAATTTAAGTAAACATTGTCTGTATTGGCATAGATATGTTGATGATATATTGACTGCTTTTACTGGTACTAGTAGACAGTTAAATTCTTTATTAGTTTTTATCAATACTATACACCCTAATATTAAATTTACTATGGAAACAGAGAAGGATAATTCAATTAATTTTTTAGACTTAAATATTATTAAAAATAATAAAGGCCATAGTTTTGGGATATTTCATAAGCCATCACATACGGATATTACAATAAATAATAGTTCATCTCATCCATACAAACAAAAGCTGGCAGCATACAACAGTATGATCCATAGATTAGTTAATATTCCCCTTACCAAAGAGAACTTCACAAAAGAATTAAATATCATTAAACAAATCGCAGTAAATAATAATTTTAATTCAAAGTTAGTAGACAACAATTTAGAGAAAAAACTTTTTAAACAGGCTATTCAACAAGTTTATCCCATAATTAAAGATCCAAATTGCAGATATAAGAGTCTTACATATATAGGAGCTCCTAGTGAAAAGGTATCATCATATTTAAAAAACCAAAATATTAACGTAGCTTTTAAAACCAATAATACGCTTGGGAAGTATATTAAAAACAATAAGGGTAAAATTAATCCTAATAATAAATCGGGGGTATATAAATTAAATTGTTGTAGTTGTCCAAAATTGTATATTGGTCAAACAGGCCGTACTTTCAAAAAACGCTATTCCGAACATTATAATAGCTATACAAAAAACAAAAATAATTCTACTTACTCAAATCATATTTTAACTGAAAATCATTCTTTTACAGACAACTTTGAAATTTTACATGTAGAAAGTAAGAGCCTTAAATTAAACCATTTAGAAACACTTGAAATAAATAGATTTAAAAATTCAGATAACTTACTAAATGATCAATTAGATATTAATAATTCACCCTTATTAAATCTCTTTCCCAGTTTTCTGTGAGATAATCCCGGTAATGGAATATCTTATTGTTATTTGATGGATATTATAATTACCTAAGTACCCTTATTTACTTTAAATAGTTTATTTTGTAATGTTATTGATGTTTTCTTAAGTACTTTGTTTTGTTAAATTATTTCATATATATATTGGATACCGAATTGTAAATAGTCACATTTGAAAAAGAAGTTGTACTTCGAAAATTATGTCATGTTAGTGTTTTTTAAAAAAATTTTATTTTTAAAATAAAAGTGTGAAAATCTACCAAATTTGGTTTTACTCTTTCAAAAATATTGTGTTAGGCTGCAAATAATTTTCTAAGATAAATTTAGGAAAAATAAGCAAATACGGTTTTTTTTTTAGTAAAATGGTAGTTTATACTACCAGAAACATGTATATAGTAATACTTTTGTTTTTCAATTTTTGGAGATTCGGGGGGTTTTTCATAAGACGGCAGTATAGGAATCATGATTTTTATAGACCTCGAGTTTTCGACGAATTTTTACGTTTTGGGGCCCCTGCATCCGTTTTGACTATTTTCGATGACTGTGTTAGTCTGTACAATCGATAACTCGTGAACATATACAGAGAAAATCACCAAATTTTTCACGCTTTAATCCATCCTACGATGAACTGATTAGATTTTGGACATAGTCGGAACATCTAGGGGGATACTTTAGAGATAGAGGGTACTTTGTCTACTTTATGAAATATATCTGTTATTTACGCTTGGAGAAGAAAATTCTTCAAATAAAAATTGCTTGTAATATTATTGTCTATAATTTTTGCTATATACATAATTATCCTAAAATGTATTCGAGAAATTCGAATGTTTAAGAAAATTGTTTAAATAAAAGTTGTGTGTGATGTCATTCTCTATAATTTTTGTTCTATATATGATTTCTCTCAAATGGACCATAATGAAATGTGTTTAGTATTTTTGTTGGCTATAAATTGTATATAAAAAAAATGTTTCGAGCAAGATGTGTTTGAAAAATGAATGTGTTTAGTTCATCCTCTAAACTTGATACAATAGGTTTTACAACAATGTGAAAAATCCTGATCACAAAAACCAAAGTTAAGTACGCTAACGAACTGGGCCCAAAGGCTTATGTCAAGTTAATTATCTAATCAAAAATATAAGAAAATATAATTTTTTATGATGGTATTTTTTAATCAATCTGCTCCACCAGCAGCAAAATTTTCCATCTTCGACAAGAATGAACAATAAGTTGGTAAATTAGCCTTGTGCATATGTGTACCAAAAAGGTATCACTGGCTCCTCTACCAATAGCCACTATTTCTTGAGTGGACACACAAGTTCTAGTGGTCATGATGTTGGTAGAGTATACCAAGGTTCATGCGTCAGAATCCAACCTAGAGGATTTTTTTTTTATTTTATTATGTTTTCACCTTTGGTATTCAGGAATATATTTCAAAATATTCTATTTCATTTTTTAAATAAATAAATAAGCATGATTTTCAAAACTTGAGATTTTTCCTTTTTTTATTGTAAAAAAATATCTGATCTACTAAGATCATTTCAACCATTGTGCTCTAATCTATGTCTAGGCTATATTTACATCAAAATATATAAACATACTTTGTCTATTATTAATATTCATAGTATTAATTAACATGTGCTGCGTTTGTTTATCTACACAAATGTTGTGAATCTTTGATCACATGATTTAAGATACATTAATGTAGTTTGAGCAGATGTGTGTGAAGTAGACAAACAAATACTTGAGATGTAAAAAATGCAACGAATGTGGATATTCAAACATAGCAATGTAATACAAAATAAATCAAACAACACTTACATTGATTCAGATTTAAGAGGAATTGATGTGGGATAATTAAGAGGCCTTTTGTTCACTAGAAGACATTTCATAGGCTGCCCGTCAAGTTGTCGATTGTGGTAGGTATCTACCGCCTTTTGTGCATCCTTCAAATTCTTGTATATGACCTCGGCTACGCCAGGGCGCACCAACTTCGCAGTTAACAATTGGCCAATGTCTTCAAAAAGTTCCTAAAAATGTGTTCCAATTTATTTATGATGACATGGCTAAACATCTTAGAAAAATAATTTTTAATAGAAACAAAAAATAATGTTACCTTAATATCATCTTGAGTGACCGACTGCTGTAAATTAGATACAACAATTCTATGGCCTGCGGGAACTAATACTTTGGTTTTTTGAGAAAAAATACCATGAGAATCACCAGACGAAGAATCATCTAATCTAGAATGGACATTTGTAATCCTAGAAGTTCCTTGTAGTGAAACGGTAGGTTTTACTGGTACCAAAGGCATATCTTCATCTTCTACAGAATCTAGATCTATATAGCTGGCTGGCTGCAGACGAGATGGAGTTCTATAGATAAAAAGAAAATGTTAATATTATAAAAAAAAAAAACAAATTATTTTTTAGTTTTTACTAAGCATGTTAATGGTAAGAAATTAAATCTTCTAAAATGTCAATTAATTATAATAGAAAATCAAAAACTCCCTCTTCTAGAAACATTAAAAATTATAAGCAAAATATTATTTAATATAATCCAATCAATGTCCTGTAAACATATAATAATTGATAAAACTTTGTCAAGGAAACACTATGGGCCAATTTCATAATCAAATTAAACGAAGCTTGAATATTAAAAGGATACTTTAAATGTTAAATCGATTTCATAATACAAATTTATTGATAAAGTACACTTTAAAGCTTAATTTAACTAAATACCCGTTTCTGCTCTTTTAGAAGCTTTAAAGCGTGCTTTTTCCGATGACGTTTGACAGTTTGTCGTTTTGATGACATCGCGCCAGTTGTTTGCTTTAATTTGATGTGAATAAACAAACAAATAATATAACTTGTTTTTAAATTGTCGAAATTTCGATTTTAACTATTCAGCAATTCACACCAACCACTCGATTTATTGCATTGAAACTCAAAGTCAGTTAATTCCATGCTCTTTTCTGAAAAAGGTTTCCATTCTAAAAAAATACTAAAATATTTGCAAACATATTTAAATAAATTTCCAAATAGAACTTAACTGAAGGACAGTCGTTAAATAACTGATTGATTTTTTATTTTTTTACAAAGAAAACCTTTTTGACCATAGGACACATACCATAATTTCGGAAATCTTAAACTAAAATTTAAAATAGATTAAATGTAATGATTTGCAATTTTAGATAGTAGGTACTCTAAAGTTCCTATTAGATTCAATAAAAAGGTTCTTAGAATATTTAACAAGATTATCCTGTCCTTTGTCCTGGCAAGTTTTAATTACCAGAATAATTCAATTTGAAATCATTTAATTCCTTTTTCAGCTAATTTGGAAAAATCCGAAGATGCTTACAGGGTATCTATCATTAAACAAATATGTAGAATACATATTTATACTTTAAAATAAACTATAAAACATTTTTGAATCCAAAACCTAACATTTCATAGAAAAATTAACATTTTTGTGGCTAATATTCCAGTAAATGTTGCAATTAAACAAAGATCAGCAATACCAACATGGTAAAATTTGGTAAAACACATTTAGTAAAAGTACCTTATGAAAACCATTATGAAATCACATTTTTTAAAGGAAACTAAAGTGAACTTTAAATAGACACTTTCTTTGTTTAAATCCTTTAGGGTTCAATTATGAAATTGGCTCTATGTATATTTGTTATATTAAGATTTGTTCCATCTTTAGATTTCAGGAAGTTTCTTGTTTCTGGTATATTTTCTTTAAATTCGTCAAAAACTTGGATTTTTGTCTTTAATCTTAACAATTATTAAATAACACTATATAATTTACGTAAAAATATTAATTTTGCATAATGTATTTAAACGTACCTTATTGATGATTGTGATGACCTTAGCGGACCTTTCTCAAAAATTCCTGCCATTTTTTGGTAAGAACTAAAAATATAAAATGTAAAAATTAAAAACATTTTTAAAGAAAGATCACAAACTATAATAAAAAATGGCCTGTGTTTATTGTTTTCATTATTTTTGTTTAATATTTAAATTTGACAAGGACACATTTTAGTTGAATCAAAATATATATTTTAAAATAAAGATTATTAAATTAAATGCATTTATTACTAAGATAAAAACTGAAGTTTAATAAAAAAAAAATGTTTTTAAGATATTCCTAGTCTAATCATATATTTATAAAGACAATAAACTCTTTGGTCTTAAAATATTTTAACTAGAAGTAAGGGAATTCCCATCAAAATCTTTCAGTGAATTATTAATTCCTTCACCCCTCCTATAGGCTAATAACTAAATAGGGCACGATTGTCCAATGTACCATATTTTCATACTTGTTCTGCATGTATACTAAAACTGTAAACCAAATAAACCAACGACTTACTTGTGTGATGCAAAAGTTGGCCATCCATTACTAAGTTCCTCCCTTAGAGCTTCTCTCATAACTTGCCTAGTAGCTTCCAACGAATTAATCATTTGTGAGGCTGAACTTTCTCTCAATTCAGGTCTCACCCATTTGTACACAGCAGGTTCGAATAACCTAACGGACTCAACTGGTTGCATATCCAGTTCATTTAATATTGAGTGTTTTCTTGAAGGAATAGGTGACCTGACTGTGTTCACAGCTGCATTTCTTTTAGCAGCTGGTCTTTTAGGAGGACTCCTGTTACTAGGAACCAATCCTAACTGTTTCTGTATGGCAAAATTAATATCTAATTTCTGCCTGGACTTGTTAGTTATTAAACTGATTTTTCCATTTCGATCTGTTTTTTTCAAAATATTGTGACCAACGGCTCTTATATTAGCACTAGTTGAAGGACCACTTGAACGGCCATCCCTTATTTTGTTAATTTTGCTCCGTGCATCCTGAGTTTTGGCCATTTTTGAAAGAATATCCCGTGCATCAGTGACAGTTTTACGCTTCTTCTGAATGATTTTTTGACGAGCATCTTGGACTCTGCGTGATGGTCGCTTCGTTATACTGCTTCTAGAAACACCATTTTTCGTATTATGTGACTTTTGAGATTTAGATGGCCTAAATTTTGTGCTTCTGTTCCTGAAAGTAGAAGGAAAATCTCAAAATAAGCCCTATCTATAGGTATTATCAATATGAGACCCACAAGCAAAAGATAAATGATTTCTTTTCTGGTTATCTATTTTTAATGAAAATTCTACAGTTTGATGTTTAATTCTAAAATGAAGAGACATGTGAGACATTATTTTAAAGGGTTTTTAATTCTTTATTAAGAAAATAAGTACAGGCTGGGTGGGGACTATCTTAACTGCTACAAAATGTATAAACTGTACAGTATTCTGTAAATACATATTGTACATTATGCTTGCATTAAAATACATTATAAGTGTCTGCCCTGTATGTTGAAAAATAAGTTTTCTCAGGTGGGTACACTGGTTAGTGAGAAAAAACTTGAATGTATACTTGTAAACTAAAACATTTTAATTATTTCTCAACTATATTTTACCTTCTAAATCAAAACAAACAAGCTTTAAAAACTCCAAAATAGTATCCTGAGAATTGATTATAAATGGTTTTCGTATAAAATAAGGAACTGCACATTAACACAATACAAGAAACTGACAAAAAATTTTAAGTAATTATTTCAAAAGCAGTATATTATGAGTCTCATTTTTTAAAGCTAAATTGGTTTTTTAGTATCTGATTATTTGATTTGTATATTGTCCATACTTTTTTTAATACATTATTTAATTTTTATTTTATATTTTAAGTCATAACAACTTTTTATTTTTATAAGGAGTAAATTTAAACCAAACCAGCTTAACATCAGTATACATTACATCTTCGAACTGTACCAATACCAAGTAAAGAGGTCAAAAATATAATGCCAGTTATTTGTAGAATTCCCATTTGTCAGTGTTGCTCATTATCTATCTTTATATTACTTATAACCACCTATTTCCTCTGCAACAAAGAATTTTTGACAACTATAAAACCGTTTATCTCAATCCATGCTATTCAATCATGTTTATAAGATATGGGTGAGGTACTGCTACAGCATACAACAATGTAAAATATTTATTCTATAATGATCAAGACTCTAGTAAGTCTTAGACATTTTAAATACGGTTACACCCTCTGGTTCCACTTCTGAGATAACCCCATGTTGTTATAGGCAGAATATTTTATTTTAGTTTTAAATCTAGATTTTTTTCACTAATGTATTTCATTCCTTTAGGACTTAGATGAGGGTGACACAATTTATGATGCACCCTATAGATAAATAGAATCAATTTGTAAGTACAAATATTCCAAGAAATAGGTAGTGTGCTAAACTAACTAAATGAATGCAGAGATTCTAAAAAACATTAGGTAGTTGATTTAATTGGCATATTAATACTCAATTTTAGGGATATATATTGACACCTCATAGATCAAAGGCTTAACCCTCATATGAAAATGGGTTTAACCCTCATTTCAGACACAGGGGTCAAAATCATTAGTAGACCAAAGGATGTAACCAGTAACCTAAATGTAGTGCCTCAAAACAATCATGATAAAAAATATATAACCTGCAAGATGTTTTTAGTTTAAATTATATTAGGTTTCTTCACTCTCTTATAAAATTTACATTTTGAGGGTTACGCCATTTGACCTATGAGTTGTTGATATATACAATGTTACTTTGGCCTTCTTATAAATAAGTAGGTGACATATTGGGGAAACATAACTTTTCATTTATATCTGCTTCTACTTAAAATTGGAATTGAAAGTCATATCAGTACCAACATTTTTTAAATATTGGCTACACCTACCTTCTCTTTGACATTATTATATATCCATTTATTTGATAGGGTACACACAAAGTCGAAATAGCTCAAATTAGATAATGACCCAAAGATTAATTAAAGAGTAATAAATATTTTTAGTGTTAATGAAGCAGGATCTTGAGCTACAAAAACACTATTCCAGTAACTCTTACTTATTAATTTGCTAAATTTAGCCATTTTATCAACTGTTTTGTTCAATGCCTCAAACGTATTTAAAAATTTTGCAGTTATTCAGGTACATATTGGATAATGATCAGTAATTGTAGAATTTACTACAAAAAGTTTAAAATCGAGTTTATACATCGTTTATACGAACAAAAAGACAGAAGTTACTACACAAAATAAAAATGCCAGATTCAACATACCCAACACGCTGTTTCGACATTGGAGTTTTTAATTTCACTTCAGGATTATATTCTTATAAATTAAATTGATCTAATTTCTGAATGACTCCTACGGCAAATCCTGAAATAGATTTTGGATTAAAACAGGATAGTTAATTCACCAGCAACCACAAGCAATATATTTCGACACAAGACACAACACGAAACACGAACACGGAACATGAACGTTTTGACTTGACATTTGGCAGATAACAAACTTTTGACAAATGACACGGAACAAAAGTCAATGAAGAGTACGTTTTATTGAACAAAATCATTCGAATAATCTGATTTGATGCGAAAATCACAGTGTCTAGGTACACGCTAACTTGCACGCAATTCAAAAATTTATATACACGCGAAACGTCTTGACAGAGTAGGTGAGCTGTGTGCAGGCCGTTAGTGTTTACGCCGGTCGTAGCTAGGTATGGATTGAAAATTTTTTGTGGCAGCGAAGCCGCCACCTTACGAGAAGTCGTTGCTTCGTTTTCCTGTTGTCACGGCATTATTATTATTATTATTATTTGTTCATGTATGTGAAATTTGCTTCTAAGGTTTATAAAATACTACTGTGCTAGTCACGGCTTAAATGAAAACAAACAAGACGCATTCACACAAACACCTCCCATCACAGCAATATGACGTTTCGCGTGTATATAATTTCCTTAGGACCGATTCCACCGTTGGTTAAATGAAGTTTAAAATGACATTTTTACATTAACAATGTCAATTTAATCTCCGTTTAAATTACTAAGCCAAGAATAAAATGACATTTTTAGATCAATGTCATTTTAATCTTCGTTTATTAATTTAACCTTCGTTTAACATAACTGGAATAAAAAATTAATATTAAAATTACCGAACGCATTCACATGTCATAAATTTATCTTCTCTCTTTTAAGGTTGAGGTTAGGTTAGTAAATTGTCATCTAATTTTTTTTAAGATTTCGGTTCTCAAAAAAATGGGAACGTGTAGTGAATATATAATAAATATATTTCCAACAATAGATGAAGATCTAAAACAATATGTAGAAGGTAATTTTAGTTTAATAAAATCTTAATTATTACTTTAATTCTAAATAAAGCCACATCAACATCTTTTTAGACGTATTATTAAACGGTGCAGACGAGTTTGAAGATAGCGAAGAGGTTTATGAAGCAGTAGGGGAAGTTTTACAGGAAATATCTAATGATAAATCTGAAGAAGATATAAGGTATGTGTTTAGGAATGGCAAATATGATTCATGCTACAGCTATTAAAATTTCAGAAATATTTGTAATGACTTGCTTTGCTTGATGAAACCAGATAAGAAAACGTCAACTAACGGTGCTATGAAGGTACTAAATGCACCTGTCCATTTAGGTTCAATGGTGGATCATACAGATCCCAACATAGATGATGTTAAGAGTATTTGGCTTATTCAAAGAGATGATACTTTGGTAAGTTAGTTCCGTATACTTGATTAATATTTATATTGCCAAATTTTTAGTTTAAGGCATTCTAAAAAATGTTGAAGATATTTTCAACATGATCATTAAACAGAGTTATAGACATTTCAACTATTAAAATTAATAGGGTCTTAAGTAGGTAAAATAATTTATAAAGAGTAGCGTAAAATACCTCTTTTTAATGATAAGAAATCCTTTTTAACGCCAACAGATCAGCAAAACAACATTATTGTATTGTTTTATTCTAAAAAAAGCAGATACATTGTTCCTTACATATATTTTACTGCCTTTAATGGTATATTTAAAAAATAGATCTAAAGAACAAATTAATTATTATTAAAATTAAAAGTTCAGTGGCATCCCAGAGGGCAACCTAATTGAAATGTTTTGACATTTATCTTAAAAAAATGCTTATAATATAATGTTAGTCATAAATAGGCAAAGGAATTATCTCCTTTAGTATTGACATGACATTTAGAAACACCCTATACAATAAAAATGAGTTTGTGGAAGGTCTTGTACATATCCCACAATTTAAGTAGGTATACATTGTAAACACTAAAAACATTGCAGAAAGTTGATGCTAGAAAATTAGAAAAAGCAGAAGCCAAATTACTACAAAAACAAGATAAGAGAACCACAGAAGTTAAATTCGTTGCACCTCCTAAACTTCAAACAGCTTCAGCTTCACAAGTTACCAGTAAAAAGGATAGCAAGTTAGAAGCCAAAGGAACAAATAGGACTCAGGATATTAGGATAGAAAACTTTGATGTTGCTTATGGAGATCGGTATGTACTCTTGTATACAATATGTTGACTTTTCAGTCTTGTCTCCAAGAGAACATAGAAACCCAGTGCTATAGAATAGAGAGAAATAGAATACATCCAAATATAATAGTTAAAGGTCTCATTTTTATTTTGCCTGAAGCATCGGTTAACATACTGTATATTTAAAATTTTATTTACTTGCCTTTAGCAGGAAAAAATACATTGGCTTTGTAGAAAAAATAAATAGTTAATATTTACCATAGTTTTCAAAAGTATAAGCCACCTTATTTAACCACATTTATAAATAACAAAATGATTTATTCAACTGCGTAAATAAATTGATATTGGAGCTAGTGGCTTCTTTGTTTATTAATTTACTAAAGATGAAAAAATAACCAGCCAAATATAATTTTGTTTGGCTTAAAGTTATTGCTTTGGCTGTTCATTGTTTTAATTTTGAATTTTGGATCTTCTGATGGCATAAAAAGCTGTTATGTATTGTTAAGTATGATATTTCATTTAAAATCAGAAGAACAGACTGATATAAATAATTATAGAAGCATTATTATTCAATCTTCTTTACCTAAATTAATGGACAGCTTAATTTTTGACCAGCTTAATTTTCACTGCAAGGAACTTTTGATCAATAACCAGCATGGCGTCAAAAAAAATTAGTTACAAATCTATTGTTATACGAACAAAATATATTAAATGTTTTAGAAGCTAAAGGGCAAGTTGGCTCTGTTTACACAGATTTCACTAAATTGTTTGACAGGGTTGATCATGAAATATTGTTAATGAAACTAGAGTCATTTAGTATACCATCTCAGCTAGTGAAATGGTTTAAAAGTTTTTTGACAGGTCAAGTCAGCAAGTTAAAAATCGGTAGTAATAGATTAAGATTAATTAGGGTTTCCTCAGGTGTAGGATTTTAAATGAAATGAATATGAGCCGACTTAAGTACAGGAGACATATCAGATTTGAATTTTATCTATAGATTAATAAATGGTCTAGTCATTTGTCCGGAACTCTTAGAAATGATTTCTTTCAATATTTCTAATAGAAGTCCTTAGGCAATTAAATATGCTCCATGTTCTATTTCACAATACAAACTGTGACATGCATTTACCTATTGAAAGAACATTGAGAGCAATAAATAAATTGAAGTAAAAATGAAATATTAGAGATGGATTTACAATAGTTAAAATGCATTTATTAATCTAAAACTTATTTGACTTAATTTTAACTTTTTTTTTCTTACTTGTATTTTTTAATTTAATTTATAATTATCTATATCATTTATATGTGTTTTGCTTTGTAATGGGGTTGGTCCCGTTTAAATAAATAAAAAGCTAATTTATTAGTAATTTAATGCACAATATAAAAAAAAAAACAATTAAATGAAACATAAACTTAAATCATTGAAACCTCATTAAAGTTAAAATTAAATCAATTTAACTTTAATTGCAATCAACCAAAATAACAGATTTATGCTATAAATTACTAATAAAATTAGCTTTCAAATGAAGTGTCACACTTTACAATACGTGACAGTTTTTTATCCTGATAGAGGATGCTAAAATCAAAAGTAACAATGATGTGCATTTTCTATTTAAAATTAAGGGTCGGTAGAAGGGAGGCGATTGACATATTAAAGACGTATGTCCCATTTGCGTTGAAAACCCACCTATTTTAGCATTTTGTTTTTTAAATCTTATAATTAATGCCAAAATTGGGTGGACTGTTTTCAGGGACTCATTCCCATTTTTTTTTTCAATTAAGAAATATTTTTAAGGGTATTATTACAAGGAGCTGATATAGTCTTAGCACATGGTAGAAGATATGGTCTTGTAGGAAGAAATGGTTTAGGAAAAAGTACATTATTAAGAATGATTTCATGTGGACAATTAAGAATACCTTCACATATAACAATTCTTCACGTAGAACAAGAAGTAAGATGGCTCATTATTTTTTTTTTTATACAATTATTACAAAAATTTTGATTATATTTAAAAAAGTGTTTGTTTTGCAAAATGTAACAAGTTTTTTTTTATTATTTTAGGTAATAGGAGATGAAACTATAGCATTAGATAGTGTATTAGAATGTGATACAGTTAGAAATGAATTATTACAAAAAGAAAGAGAAATTAGTGCAGCTATTAATAGCGGGTAATGAAAAAAGTGTATTAAAACTAATGTATAATATTCAATGAAGAAAACATTTTTATTTTTAACTTTTAGAGAAAATATTCATAAAATATTTTGCTTGTTTAAAAACTGATAATAATTCAAATAGAAGTTGAATAAATCTTTACTTTAGTGAAATGACAAAAAAAATTTAACTTATTTCTTTTACGTTTTTGTCATTTCGCTAAAGCAAAGAAATATTCAGCTTCGGTTTAGATTATTATTTTTAAAACAAGCAAAAATTTTCATGAAGACATTTTTTTTAAATGTCCTTATTTTAAAGCTTGTTACCACAATACACAGCTATTCCTATTTTTATACTTACTTTTTCAATAGGTCCACTGATCCTTCTCTTAATGGCCAGCTTACAGAAGTATATGCCCAACTGCAAAATATAGAATCAGACAAAGCACCTGCTAAAGCTTCTATAATCTTAAACGGTTTGGGTTTCACAACTGAAATGCAACAAAATGCTACCAAAACATTTTCCGGAGGTTGGAGGATGAGATTAGCATTGGCCCGAGCTTTATTCTCTAGGTAAATTTAGTATTTTTGTGATTTATACAAGTTTTTTTTCTATTTCTATTATTTTAGACCTGATCTCTTGCTTCTTGATGAACCCACTAACATGTTGGACATCAAAGCTATTATTTGGTTAGAAAATTATCTGCAGAACTGGCCGACGACATTACTTGTAGTGTCCCACGACAGAAATTTCTTAGATACTGTACCTACTGATATTCTGTATTTACATTCTCAAAGGATAGATCCGTACAGGTAAGTGCATATTTTGTTCAATTAATTACCAAGAATTTCATTATTTTTAATACAGAAATAATAAAAAAAGTTTTGAGATTAGGATTACTAAGACGCTACTTAGTTCAGGCATCTAAGACTCAAAAAGGGGCACTAGATGAAAGTTGTGGAGTTTTGATATTTTGCACCTTTATGGTTTTTTTTGGGTCGCCGAACCCAAATCTGAGGTGTGCGAACAAAAGTTTTTCTGAAAATATATTCTCTCAAATGTAAAAAACTCGATTTTTATTCGATATTTTCAAAAACAACTCCAAAACTAAGCATTTTACATGGAAGTTGGCTCTATATAAAATTAAGAATAATAATATTTCCTACATTTCATGTTTTTGAGGTTATTTTCTCCATTAATACGACGCGAAAATGGGTGTTTAAAGCAAAAAATTCTCAAAAACGATAATTTTCTCCAAATTACGCAAATTTTAAATATGCATTACATATACGTCCGAAAGACTTCAGTTGATAGCCTATTGCACCGAATATTGAGTTCAATAAACGAAAATTATTATTATTAATTATCATAAAATTTACAACAAAATACAGTTTAAGGCTTATACAGTAGGCTGGATTTGAGGATTAAAAATAACAATTTGAAGGTTGAGGCGAGGGGTTAGTTTCAATGGAAGTGTCATTTCAATTGGGGAGTGCATTGGGAGTGTATTAGGAGTGCATTGGGAGTACATTAGGAGTATAATATACTATTTTAGTTAAAAATTAGTTTTTTATTCTTTTAGTTTTTAATAGACCCTTAAATATAAATTTTAATAAAATTTAACCCGTATCTTTTTTTTTGCTGCAAAACGGAAAAATATATTTTATTTTAGGAAACCAAATTCTCATAGGTTTTTGCCAACAAGTTCCACAACACATTTTCAAAAATTACACTAGAAAGATAACCCATAAAATTGGCAAATTGCACTCACAATAATGGCGGACCAATCCCACTTTGCGCTTACACATGTCATCCCCAGGTTGCCATATCAGTGGTGCATTGTGAGTGTATTGGGAGTGTTTTAAAAATGGGAGTGTATTGTACAAACATTTTGCTTGAGATTAACCACTCGTTTGAGGCGGTTCATTGACATCTACAACATAGAAAAAGACATGCAATTAGTGGGTGTTATTATTACTACCAGTAATGTATAATATGATTTTTTAATATCCCGTAATATTTGTCATGATTTGGTCTCTTTTGGGATGTCTGAGATGTTCAATTGCATCTTGAGTTTCTTATACAAGCCTCGGAAATTTCTGCAATGTTGTCACGGCTTCTCTTACTTGAGGTACATGTTGAACAACTCTTCCTGCGCCCACAATTTATTTTGCAGTTCTTTGTGCACCTCTAGGACACCAGCTGCAACAAATCAAGGGTATGTGAGGCCAGTTGCCTTTTTCCATACCCTCTCTTCTAGCCTTTGCTGGACCTGATGGTATACTTTTAACCAGTGCTGCAGATGGTGATAATGCAACATGGATAGAACTGAATTTGAAGGCCATTTCCCTCCAGGAAATATTTCAGTTGGTTCAGGGCAGACTTTTTAGTTCTATTATAGTCATACAAAGAAACCAGAAAATGTTCCCCAGGAGCAGCAATTATCTCCTGAGTAGCATTGGAGTTCATGAATATTTGACAACGTCAGCAAGATTATAAGGTTCTTAACAAGAGTCTTGAAACTTAGTTTTCCCTTGGAAAGATATTGCCTTCTGAAGTTCCAAAAAGAAGGCATTTTTAATCATTAAAGACACCAAGTGGTCCATATCAACTCCAATACAAGGTCTCATTTTAAGGAGTCGAAGACAAAGCAGTGTTCACAATCTGCGTTTTCTTTTGCTTGCATGTATTTTCTGCTGATGAGAACTTTGTAATTAGCATAGACATCAAATAGCTCTTGTTTTTTGGTATCATTATGTCGTCAAACAGTATGTCAACTAAAGCATCTTTACTTGATCTTCTCGTTTGCTCCACCTTGTAACCACATCAGGGAAACCATCAAACATAACTACTGCCTTTGGTTGATATTTTGACTTTATACTTCTCACAGATAATTTGACAAAAAGTGTTAAATTCAAATTTTTAATAAAATTGTTCAAATAAAAGTTGTTTGCTTTATCATTCTCTATAATTTTTCTTCCATACATGATTTCTGTAAAATGGACTGTAATGGAAAAATTTGAGGAAAAGTAAAATTTTTTAGTATATTTGTTGGAAGTAAAGATATTGTTAGAAGTTAAATGAATTAACTTCAAAATTATTGTTTTTAAGTGATTTATCATCCTGTTTAACCACTTCACAAAACATGTGTTAACATGGTCTTTTATAATGTTTTATTAAATATCTCTAAAAACTAAACTAAAACAATGTTTAAAAACTAATTAATTAAGGAACAAAATAAAGAATGTCTTTAACGGGCATAAATGTCTACTTGCTTGCGCTCGCCTGATCAAAATTAAAATGTTCCCGTTCCCTCTAGGAGGCTGTGACGAGCGCTATGTGGTATCGTCAGCCTCAGCGGCGCCAGTCTCTTAATTCGCTGAGTCTAACAATATATAAAAAATGTTTCGAGTAGGATGTATGTGAAAAATGTATGTATTTAATTCATCCTCTAAACATTTACAGAGATGATATGATAGGTTATACAAAATAACTAGACAGGAAAGTCAACTACCACGGAAAAAGCATAGTTTTGAACTTTTTTGTGAAGCCTGAAAAATGTCCGGCTTTTACAAATTAAAAAAAAAAACATTTTTTATGAAAATTTTTGTTGAAAAACCTTAGATTACTTTCGAACGACCGAAAAAAACAAAGTTATAAAATAATTAAACTTTCCATTGGGTTTCTGCAAATGCCTGGACTAATAAGTTTAAAATGTATTAATAAAATTAAATATTTAATAATCAAAGCTGATTTTTAGGGGAAATTATGAACAATTTGAGAAAACCAAAACTGAGAAACTCAAGAACCAACAACGGGAGTACGAAGCACAAATGCAGCAAAGACAACATGTTCAAGAATTTATAGACAGATTTAGGTACAACGCCAACAGAGCTGCTTTGGTACAATCCAAAATAAAGATGTTGGAAAAACTGTAAGTAATTTTGAAGTTTTTTGAACATCTTAATTGATTTCTGGAATAATTTTAGCCCCGAATTAAAGCCCATTATTAAAGAAACCGAAGTGGTTCTCAAATTACCAGAAACTGAACCCCTGTCGCCTCCCATTTTGCAACTAGACGAAATTTTGTTCCGATATACTAATGACAGGGTGATATTTAGTAACGTTAATCTTGGTGCTACTATGGATTCCAGAATATGTATTGTAAGTGATTAATAATTATTGTTTTATTTATTCAATTTAATTTCGTTATTTACACATATTTGTATATTTGTAGGTTGGTGATAACGGTGCTGGTAAAACCACACTATTAAAAATAATTATGGGTATATTGTCTCCCACAGCTGGTATGAGGAATGTACATCGAAGCCTCAAATTTGGTTATTTCAGCCAGCATCACGTAGATCAATTAGACATGAATGTTAATTCTGTAGAACTTTTACAACAGACCTACCCTGGTAGGTATTTTTATGTACTATACATAAAATTATATCCCGCTAAAGGGCGCTAAATTTAAAAGTAACGCAATTAACAATTGTATTACTGAATTCTCCACAAAATTTTATTTTCAATTATGTTTCTGTTTTGGCTCATTGTCACACTTTATTGAAGTTTCATTTTTTTTTTTTACAAAAAATCACTTAATGATGACTATGACACAAAATAAATATCAAATCAATTTACTGTTGATTGTTCATATTTTTTAAACATTTTGAATTCAATTTAAAACTTAAATAATTTTCATATAATTAAAGGAAAACCGATTGAGGATTACAGACGACAATTGGGTAGTTTTGGAGTTTCTGGAGATTTGGCACTTCAAACTGTATCGAGTTTATCTGGAGGACAAAAATCTCGCGTAGCATTCGCAAGCATGTGCATGGGCCGACCTAATTTCTTGGTCCTTGATGAACCTACTAATCACTTAGATATAGAAACTATTGAGGCTTTAGGAAAGGCGATTCAGAAGTACACGGTATGTAAATGGTTTTTTTGTACTAATGCATGTAGATATTAAAGCAGATTAATATTTATAGAGAAGAGTAGAAGATATTTTTGATTTTTTTAGAATTCATGTCACTCTAACAACCTTAACACAAACGTTAACACTCAACTTGTAAAAAAATTCTTATGTACCAAGTAAAAAAAAAGATATTTTTTATCGAGTGGATTTTCACGATGCTAGAATGAACTCTAGAATAATGATTACTGTTTTACTCAGACAATGCGAGAACTAATATTCTTTCTTCACGGAATGTGCAACAAATTTTAATAATGTTACAAACTAATGCGACATCAACCATGATTCACTAATTTTAGATAAATCCAGTCAACATTTTTATATAAACTTACTTTTACAATAACTATTTGGATTTTTGTAGAATTTTTCTAATTTTCTTTGATACGAAAGGAATAATGTTTATCGTTTCTTCTTCTTTTACCAATATTTTTCATGGTCAATACTTTAAAAATGAACTGAATAATATTTGTATATTTCTTTTGTAACTTAAAATATGTTAAATAACTTTGCTTAGTTGTATGATGTTGATTGTATATCTTTGATGTGTTACTGTATCATTCATTTATGTATTTGGAGATGCGAGATTCTCTGTTGGACAGTGAAGAATTTATTTTTTCATTATAGATATAAACCTACCAATTATATCTGGAAGTTGTTATTTGCATTATAATTTATTCTTTTTTTAGGGAGGTGTAATTCTCGTTTCTCACGACGAGCGTTTGATCAGAATGGTATGCACTGAACTTTGGGTATGTGGAAACGGGTCCGTTAAAAGCATAGAAGGAGGATTTGATGAATACCGAAAGATCGTTGAACAAGAACTGGAAGCAGCCGCCCAATCGAAATAACATTTGTCTAAATAAATTTCAATATTTATTTAAGAATGGGAGATTGGGTGGTTTACACAGAATGTCTAAAATGCCAAAAGTTTCTTATTTTCAACTGAGTTTCTTATCAACTTGTATTAATAATATAATTTTGCATTTATTTACTAAAAAACACTGTATTTTGTTAATAAAACAAGTACAAAATATTTGCAACTATAAAATAAAACTTAAATCATTTCGGTTAAATATAAATTTAGAAAAATTGATAAAATTTGAACATATTTGGTAATCGCCCAGTATAAAAAAAAACACTGCGTTTAATCAGTGATTTTTTATGTAAATGAAATTTTATTGTATAAATGTGCCTGTTTTAGATCATTCGTATTTATGATTTTTTTTTTTGTTAAATTTATAATCATAATATTTATAACTCAACCTGTTCATAGAAAATAATAAAAAATATGATAAAAAAGTTTTTTTATTCAATCAACATTCCTTTTTTAAGTTAGTACCTAATATTCAATTTTTTTTTAAATAAAAAGTGCAATTAGGAGGTGATGTGAGCTTAATACATTTAGATCCATTTATTGAGGCTTAATGTATACACATCAAGATCCATTAAAATAATTGTCGTGTACAATTTTCAACCAGTCCAGTCATGCTCTGATTCCTTAAGTCCCTCTCTGCCTTATTTGGGCATGGAACTCACCACACCTAGCAAACAAAGTAAAAAAAGCATACATTGCTATTTACATCAAGGAGGTAGCTCTGATGACAATAACACGCCTCCACACGGTTGGAATAGAACCTGATGTAGGATCTGGTGAGGTGAAACGTCGCTTTTGGTAGGTGCTCGATACGCTCCCACTGCTTCAAGCTATCATGGACTCCATCCCACCGAGATATATCTTACATTAGCCATAAACAGAAGAGCTGGAAGTGGCAGGTACGATTCATATCTAAACCGACGTTTCTAAAACAAGGCGCAGGATGTGGAATATAGTCCAGATCCTTAATCCTAAACATAAAATATGCTGTGAGCAATAGTGTCAGTGTAGTTCAAACCGAGCTCGCATGGATTTTCATAGCAGCAAAAGAAATTACCAGAAATATCACTGGAAGGAACATGTTCATCGATACAGACAAGCACTACTCACCCTGGACAGACCACGAATTTACTCAAAGTTAGTACTAGAATGTCACGAAGCTTTGGCCGAAGTATCCATCAGCAATGTGGTCAACTTAAGATGGACCAAAGTTCAAGCCACAACGAAAAGTAACTTGGCTGATTTACTAGACTAGAGGCAGCCAACAGCCAACCAAATATTTTTGAACCTGGCCCTTCTATTGGACCGACAAATTCGGTAATGACAAACCTAATTAAAGAACATCCCCTTGTGAAATTCAAGGAAAGATGGGATGAAACAAAAGGCTGCAGACTTGTCAGAGTGATTTTAAGTTATCCTGACAAGAGTACATTATACAAATACATAATCTGCGCCTGATCACTAGGGATGTTGCAATACTACTGATATGATACACTATCATTTGTAATTGCTGTGGTGGGAGGTGTTTGCATGTGTGAATGCGTCTTGTTTGTTTTCATTTACGCCGTGACTAGCATTAGTATTTTATAAACTTTAGAAACAAATTTCACATACATGAACAAATAATAATAATGCCGTGACAACAAGAAGACGAAACAACGACTTCTCGTAGAAAATTTTAATTTTAATCCATACCTGGCTACGCCGACCGGCATAAACACCAACGGTCTGAACACAGGACTGTCAAAAGGAGACCGATGTACAAATAAAACGCGTACGACATGCGCACTACAAATGATTAGTGTTGTCCCCGATACGCGAGTATATGATACTGGTATCGATACTTTTCTTTCGATACCGGATAATTTAGTACTCGATACTTTACCCATATCGATACTACTTTTGTTTTGATACTACTACTTTCGTTTCAATATTTTACTAGTTTTGACATTACAATATATACAAAAAGTATATTGTAGGATCACTTATTGCGTGACAGCAGCGCCAATTCGTTTTGGAACTAATGGACTATTTCTGCGTATGCTGACAAATGCAATTTTTAATAGAATTCGTAATTAAAAAGTATATATGTTAGTTTTAATAAAAGTATATGGATTTGTAAAACAAGTAAAACATTAATTTTTTATTATTATAATATATTTTTATCTCTTAAATTAAAGAAAATTATGTATAATCAATAATAAAATATAGGCAGGCAACAGTATTTACTGGAAAATGTATGAGAAGCTGCCTAAGTCTAATAAGTTGTCATTGAAGAATTAGCCTATTCTGTCAAAATAAAAAATACCATTTAATAATAGCGTGAAGTTAAAATGTATAAAAAAAGGATCGTTATTTATATTTTCATTTTTGTTGGAAAGAAAACAGAATGAATGATTAAAACTGGTTTCCCATTAGTAAGTCACAAAATTGCATTCCAGCCACATATAATAATCAAAGGCAGAAATCTTGAAATCTAGTCCTTGCTGAATGAACATTTAAGAATAAAGGGATATTAAAGAACATCGTAAAATGATAATTTATTGTTTATTTAAAACCTTTCAAGTTTCTGATATCTACTATTTCCAGCATTAGTTATTATTACAAAAATAAAGGTAATTTTTCTTCTTATTGTACACCTATCCATTTATTTCTTTAATTTCCACTTTGCTACTGAAATTTTTTATATAAGTTTCACTGTTTTTTTGCTAGTATTTGTACAATTTTCAACACAGCAACTTCGGTTGCTTATTGTATTGTTTTTACCTACTTTTTTGAAAAAAAGTAAAATGTATACGTGTATTTGATATGCCAAAATTACAAAATATCGCCTTAAAATGCACGAATTATCCGCAACTAGCGCTAGTATCGCTTTTGCTTCCCTTTCCAGGACTTCGCACAGAGTGAATACTCTTCCCAATATCGGTATCGATACTTTGGTTCCGATACTCTTTTCGATACTTTACTGGTATCGCAACATCCCTACTGATCACAGACATTCGGACTGGTCATTGCCAAGTACAGAAGCATCTCCATATCATGGGGATGTCCGAATATGTACTCTTCAGGTGGTGCAAACAAGAAGATGAGACCATAGAGCATATCTTCTACGATTGCTCGACACTCTCATTTATTAAAAGATTTGTTTTCGGCGATAATTGGCTAACACCGGCCGATATAAGAGAAGCACCTCTTGGCGACGTAAATTACATTAAATCTGGGGCTGTAAGTGCTGTGGATAACACACCTTCCACACGTTACAGATAGAAGTCAACCCCAGAAACCCCTGAGATATGGCCAGTCTGCTAAGTGATTCTAGACAATACCGGAAGCGCCAGTCTAATAATGGATATGTCCGTGCGTGTTCTGTTTCATATTTAAATTAGTTGTTAATTTACTGTCTTGTTTTGCTGGCCATAGTACAACTGCTAGTTCTTATTCAAAATAGAAAGCAAAGACAGTAAACTCACCTAAGATGTCTTTTAATAGTTTAATACATTGCCTATTACAAAAGTATATAGTATGGAACATCTTTAACTCCGTTATTATTAATGAGTTTTTTAAGGTTTTTCACATTTCTTTTGGATTGTTTCTGGTCCACTTCAAGTCAAAAAAAAAATACCATTATGGCGAATTAGCCTTCCATTGTAACTCTTTAATCATATCTACTTTGCTCTACAATTCACTGACTTTTTCGAGACACGTAAGGTAAAACTAGTGTTGATAAAAATACACATTATAAAACAATTAAATTTTAATTACAAAAACTATAATAACAAAGAATTTTTCGATAATAAATAAAAAAATACAAAAACTGCTAGAATGTATACTAATCAATAGAGTTTAGGATGTTAACGTACATTACCTTTAAACTTTTTGTTGGATAGATGTTCAAATAACTTTTTATCATGAAATTTTCATTTTGTATAAGCTCTTGTTTAAAAAATATGGTCTGTTAGAGGTAAGCTATTATTAAGAGAGAACAGTATTCGTGACGTTTTTAATAAATAATTTAAAACAATGTTCTTATTTAACAAGTATACATATTTTTTTAAAGTAACCTGATTTTTATTCAGGTGAAGAAATAATGTTTTTATTATCTAAGTGTTTTAACTATGGAGAAAAAATAGACTGGAGGAGGTAATAGTTTTTGAATTTTAGTCTAGTGTATATTATTTAAATCAAATAGAAGCACAAAACTGTTGAAAATTATATGATTATTTTTTAAAGACAATTAACTAGGGTTTAAAATAATGAACATGAATTTAGCATAGTTATAAAATTTTTTAATAAGTGTTGTTCACAACCATATCATTTTCTTTATTTTTTAATAAAAATTTAAGTTGGAATATCTCTAGGAATATCTACTATTTCATTTCAAAAATTATCAGATAAGTACAACTACGTTTGTTGAAAATTAGTACATTCAATTTATTATTTCCAAAAAAATGATTTTTTTTTATTACAAAAAACCTTTTACGATATTTACTTCGTTTAAAAGTCACGCCTCTCATGTACTCTCAAATTTCTTTATTATTACTCATTTATTAGAGTCTAGCTAGCCATTTTTTCAAGCCTTCAATATCAACTGAGCCATTTTTGTGGAAGGCATAGCTTTCAGCAATGTCAACTTTTATTGGCAAACCAGCAAAGTCAAAATCTTCATCAGGATCTCCCAGGAGAGCAGCTCTTTTAGCCTTTGGGTCTACTGATTCAAGTTGGCTGGATTTGGTGATACGTAGAGTGTTTCTATAAATTTTAAATAAGATGTTAATCATTAATATCCAGATATTGGACTAATCAAGAACAGTCAACAAAAATTAGAATTTAATTATAAAAAAATGTATTGAGGTTTTCCTATTATAATAAAAATTACTGATATAGAAAACTCAGGATCAAGAAATTTAAGTGGTAAGCAAAGCAGTTGTATTTTGTAGTATATTTTATCAAACTACTTTCAACATGGTTATGAGAAGAAGAAAAAAAAAAGATTTTGAAAGTATCCACCATGAAATATCTACGAAGTTTATTTGCACAATTCAAATATCATTTTTCAAAAAATATCAAATAAGAAAATTATAAAAAACTTATATTTCAAGTGTCAACAATTTCAATTTGATTATCATAATTCTTACCAATGAAGTCATTAACAAAAAAAATATACTTACAATTCCTTTTCAAAAATAGCCTTAACTGCAGATCCTCCCTTGGAAAAAGTAAAATCCTGTTTATTACATAGAATCAATAGGTTTGGCTTGTTTTTAAGTATTACTGGATCTACTAAAATATTATATAAAAATTCAGCAGCATCTCTGATGTCCTGGGTAATAGTATTTGAGTCAACTACATAAACAATCCCTTTCGTAATGTCCTTGTATTGTTCAAAAAATTTGTCTCTTAAACGTTCATGACCAGGAATATCTATGATTCTAAGAACTTCCTAAAAAAAAATGTTATAAAGCATTTACTATTTTGGAGGTTGTTATATTATTATTGTTGGTTTTATTAGTGTTATGATTCAAATCTAGAAGCAATACTTACATTATTGTTTGCAAAATTTGCAATATTTTCTTTGATTGAAGTATGTGTCTGTATGTGCTTATTATGAATCAGTTGTGAAAATATTAAAGTCTTTCCAGTATCACAAATCCCTGTAAGTAAGATACCTTGTCTTGAGGCCTTCCTTCTCTTGTAAAGTGCGAAAAGAACTAAAAAAAAATTCTACAATTTTATACCTTTCTTTGAAATAATTGAGAGTAACTGTTCCATAGTCACTATGACTCAAATGAAAGCCTATAACTTAAAGGAAAAATGTTTATGAATAAGGAAAAAAGAATAACTCATTCTTATTCATTAAAAATTAAAGATTTCCATATGGTGGACACTCACCTAACGTTATAACTATAACGAAAACAGCAATAAATATTTGTGTATAGTCTGTTCCTCCTAACATAATTGGAACTTTCTCTGCCATTTTGATAAATAGTCTTTTGAAAACTATTTTATTTAATTTTCCGTCAAACTGACATTCATTAACAATCAAATCTTGCACATAACCTCACTCTATGACTGGCTGTTTCTATATTTATACGTTGGCAGAATTTCAATATTCTTCTTTTTTATTCATAATAGATACTAAAACTACTCGGATGCGAGTTAGCAGCTATTATTCAACAACGGTTATAGTACGGTGAACCAAAACCAATATATTATTGCAGACATTAAATTTCGACCTAATATGAAGAGTGGATGACGCCTTTTCTTTTATTTGAACATAGAAGCCTGGCTGAACAAATACTAATGCTTGAACGAAAATCGATATCACTGGAATTTAATACAGAATGTACTACCAAGTACTATTGTATATTGATCAGTAATGTATGCTGGCTTTGAGCAAGTACAATTTATAAAAAGAGGGACCCAAATTTTCATTTTTCAAACTCAATTTTCATCAATTACAATCATTTTAATAATAAGGCATATAACTTTTTTTATTAATTTATTTAAGAAAATAAGTTAAATCACAGTAAATTTATAAAAAATTTATGTAGACAATAATTATTAATTACTATTACATTTACCATAATATGATTGAATAATAATTTTTGCATTCACAAAATCAATGGTCCATTTCTATTGAAAAAAACATAATAAATAAAACCAGTTGATGAACATAATTAACTCAACTTAAAAAAAAAAAAAATGAAAAAGTACAATCTGTGCAAAACATGGCAAAAGGGATATATTATAATTCAATAAAAGACTGGGTTTTTATACTTTTTTATTTAAATTTAAAACCCGGAGAACTTCCATAAGAAAATTGTTGACTTTTATTTTTTGATGAAGTTGAAGCTTCATTATATAAAAAATCATCATCAGCATCTGAAGTTTCCTTCATTTCGACTTCGTTACTCTCTTCTGCTTCTTGGTACTCTTTATAGAAAGGTTCAATCTTCTTTCCAGACCTTAAAGAAAAAAGTTCTATTCAATTTTATTTATAATTTAATACCTATGCAGGCAACTATTAAGTACAATCAGATATAGATATGGTACAGTTATATTAAATAGAGCAAATCCTAAGCAAAAAATACTGGCAAGGGTAAACTACAGACATTATAATGTTAGCCATATTTTCATAGCAAATCGATATATTTGGCAACTTATGATGACGGGCATGTGCAAAAACAAGTACTGATAAAACTGATTTTATAAAAAAACTTTTTCCTCAATAAATTACAGGACTGGGTTCGCCATAAACAAAATTTTATTTGCAAATTAAGGTGACCAAAACTATTCATATATAAGGGACCATTGTGAGACATTTGTTCAGCCTGACTTGTAGTTTATAAAAATTATGTAAACCCTGTATTTATATATTGCATGGCAACACCAGTTACAAAATTTGTGATGGTAGCAAGGGGTTCTCTAGCCTGAAGCAGGGCCATTACATCATTGTTAATTATTGTATTGTCTTATCTATCATATCGTTAGTCAAGTAACATTAAATTAACTCATTTAATTCACATCAAAATACATTTAATACAGTCAACTTTAATCCTGAAAGGGACACGTATAATATCAACTAACCATCTTATATATCTAAGTGAGAAGCATAACATTTTATCTTACAATGATTTTTTATACCATTCTAAATAAGTTATAATTAATCTAATATAACTTGAATGGTGTATATCTTTTATTTTAACAAGAAAAGATTGTCAATAAATAAACTTTACCTTTCTAATACAAATGGATCAAACGGAAAGAAAGTGTTCAGAGTATTATTAGACATAATTATTGCACCCTTCTCATCTTGATAAATGGTGGGTAAAGTGTTTCTTGAGTTGTGCTCTATCACAGTATAACAATAAGCTAACTGGTACTTTCGGGTAACAGCTGCAAAGTTTTGAACGACAGCAGGTTGGCATACCCTTAAAGGGTTCAGTCGACATGTTACCATTTTTGCCATATTTAAACTTTGCAAAAACACAATATCTAAAACAAACAATACTTTTATTAATATAATGATATTAATTATTAAGAAATAGAAAACGAAACATATATTTCTAATTTTACTTACTTTTTTTTGATTCAACAAGATCTTTATGCCTGAAAGCGACTATATAAAAAAGTGCTTGACAAACACTGTGGAATACAGAATGCATTCTTACATCTGAATTGACATATTCAAAACCATCTTGAGAGGATATATAGGAATGAATCCATTCTGCTAACTGTTGTAAAGTACCTTTGACCATTCTAAAAATTGATGTAAACATAACTTTCATTGAACTATTACATTTAAAACATTCTACAAATAAGTAATATAAAGAGTGAGCCATTAAAAAGGTTTCTAAAGTATACCATGAAAAATATGTCTAGTCATAACTACATGTGGCTTTTAATTGAATTTAAAAAGAAGAATTGTACACTGACATGCGTGAATTTCTCCAAGGCCTACTATAGAAACATGTTTGGATCACTCCATATTATTATATTAACAGTTTTTGTGAATATTTGTGTTCTTTTATTTATCTAAGATTATAAAAATATTAAGATACTGTGAGGCTGTTAAAATAAAATAAAAATGGAGAAATTAAAGACCAATAATTTTAGAAGATATTAATAAAATTAGCTTTAATACGAGGCGTCACACTTTAGATTACCTAACAATGTTTGTTCCTGCAAAAGGAGATTAGGATTTGTATTATTTCATATTCATAATGCCGAATTCTCAACAAAATATTCTTTTTCATGTTATACATTCTCTATTTAAAATTTTAAATGGAGGCTTTTTGCATAAAAGTGTGGTAATATGCATGGGAAATACATAACAAAAAATGAATTCGTCAGTGATGATGGAAACAATTACCCTATCAAAAGTTATTCAAGGAGGATCATTTTAGAAGGAAAACCAATCAAGAAATATAAATATTTCCAAATTAAAATTTATTATAATTAAAATACACTTACGCTAAAGGGATGTAATTCGACCTAGCAACCAAACTGGCTATATAATTTACAGCGGCTTGTCGAAGAACAGGAGCACCATTAGGATTGCACACTTTTTTCCATAAATAATTCAAAAACGCCTCTGCAATAGTAGTTTTAAAGCAAGTCATCAAGAACATGATGAACTGAACATGATGCATGTCGTAAGTAGGTAAAATTATTCGATCGAATATTGGCAACATTTCTAAATATAATTTTTTAGCTTTTTCCCAAACCAGTTCTCCTGATTGGGCATCATGACATTCTGAAATGAAGTAATTGAACACTTTGTCCAGACATATGTCTAAAGTGTGAGCTAATATATGCCGGTTCACTTGTGTAAAGGCAGTTGTCGAGGACCTCACTGATTTAGAATCTTCGTCCATTGTAAATATATTTTCATCGGCATTAAGGTATTTTTCTATTTCTTCTCTGGGAGCATTTACGTCCATTATTAAGAGCCTAATAGAAAAAAAACAAAGACTTTTCAATAGAATCTTGGTTGGCACAAGACAACAAACACCATTGACTGTTGATCTAATTCTCCAATTTTATTCGAGTAAATTTTTTACACCATATTAAAAGAAATATTTTTAATCATACTTCAAATTTTTTGCAAAATGTTTCTAAGAACTTGTCATAATGCATTGGCAGATAACTGATATCAAAACAATAGAAAGACACTCAAGATTTATATGTATTAATAATTATTAGTATTACTTCAATTCCTGTTTTTATTTCAAATACGAAATTTGTTAAAATGCGTCTGAATCTTATATTAAATCAACTAAAATTACTTTTTTAATTAAACAGTCTTTAAAAATACCAATATCCCATGCAAATTGGTAAAACAAGAAATTTAATGAAAATGGCTGTTCTTTGTGACTTTTGACAATTTAAATGTCAGTTCTATCACATAAATCAGTGACATTGTTTTAGGGTTATTACTGAAGTCAGTAGTGTTACTTATAGCCAATTGAGACATCTATTTGGTCACGTGGGATGCAAATACTGTTGACTTCATGGTAAAAAACGCTACAAAGTTGTACAGTACCTACTCAACTAAATAAATAAATGTCATACTATTCAAATTTGTTCATGATTTTTTGAATCTTCTGTGACATAATCTGATTGTGCAATTAAATAAATAATATTTTTTTGATTAACATTTAAAATTTATAAAAAAATATAAATTGAAATTATCTAGGGTGACCATATTATTATTTCTATGGACCATATTTATTTTTGATCCATTGCTGGGTGCTGGACATGAATACAACATTGATGATGAAGATGTAGAGGACCAGAGGGCCCTTTGTTTTATTTCCTCCAAGATAAATACAACAACAAAGAGAGAAGTTCATGTATTACGTTTTTATCTTATTTGTTTTGTTTCAGTAAATATATATTACATTGCTGGACAATAATGGCGTTTTGCTGTACAAGATCAAATACTGGACAGACTTTAAAAATACTGTACAATACAGCGAAATAATGTATCTATAGCCACCCAAAAATTGTCAGGTGTTCTAAAACAGTTACTTAATTAGTTAATAGCACATTTACAATTATTGTGCAATATTATTCAAAGTTTGATATTAGTTTTCGAGGAATAAATAATTTCAAGGCTTGAAAAAGACATAATAAATAAATAAATAAATAAATAAATAAATAAATAAATAAATAAATAAATAAATAAATAAATAAATAAATAAATAAATAAATAAATAAATAAATAAATAAATAAATAAATAAATAAATCAATAAATAAATATGGTTTTATTGGCATGTGAAAATTACAAAATTAAAATAGTATAATTTATTAAAAATAATTAGCCAAAAGGCAATGGAGTATAAATTAAGTCAACCGTGGAAAATACCCAGGAAAATGTAACTTCCACATTGTATTACATACGACAGTTATGGCTGATGTCTATAAATTTTTATTATGAATATTTCACTATAAAACTTAGGAAAAATGGACTGATTATGCCCCTTTAGCAAAAATTGCTAAGAAATAAAATCAGGTAAACCAAGAGGTTCAGAACAATACCTGACTAGATTTATCAAGTTTTGTTTTGGAATACATTTGTAGAACTTACTGGTATGATAGCAAGTAAATCACTACCATAGGAAGAAGACTGATACTAATATGATAAATAAAATTGAAGGTGATCTTATAATTTCCATTAAATTACAGAACATATAAAAAATGGAGATCCTTTGATTCAGTGGGTACAATAATAAGACATTTTTCTTCTATTATAAATATGAATGTGCAATAATAGCACCCCCACCAAGTAGTGTGGCTAGTGAACAGCTATTGTATAAGGCAATTCATTAAGGTTGGAGACTGGTCTTATCAGAAGATCTTGAAGTAGATCACAAAAACAGGTTGATTTTTAATTCAAGGAAGACATTTTTCTATAATATCCTCATAATTGTCATATGTCATTCCTCACTCTCACCACTACAATTTAAATAAGGAAAGTACCATCATTGAAAAGATAATTTTATGGGGAATTCAGCAATATGAATGTTACTTTTCATTTTAACACCCTCTATCTGGATAAAAACTTATATATATATTATAAAGTTAATTTTATTAGTAATCCAATGCACCACATAACAATATAATAAACATCTCCTTATTGCACTTGCAACAAAATAAAGTTAGAAATAATGCAATCTTTTTTTTTATTTTAAGTTCATTTTTGGCTTGGTTAACATATTATTATGTACTGCATTGAATTACTAATAAAATCAGCTTTTAAATGAAGTGTGACGCTAGAGGAGCGTTAAAATGAAAAGTATTGCAATGAACAATCATATTGCATAAAATTACATTTTTAGTAATGTGTCATACTTGATACTTTCCCTATTTAAATTGTGTTGGTTAGATTGACATGGGTGATATTAATGACATATGACAGTTGAGGATACTATAGAAAGGTGTCTCACAAAGCACCTTTCCTTGTGTCCCCCATAACATAAAAAAAGACCTGTCTTTGGGTTTATTTAAAAAAAAATCTACTTTACGATATTGACATACGACCTGTCACTACCTATAATGAATCGCCCTGTATATGACAGCACAAGGAATCGTCTAACTTCAAAAGGAGCAGAATGTTTAATTTTGTTGCATTTTAACATACCAAAACATAATATTTTTAATTTAGTTTTTTTTCTTAATTCTAAATAAAAATATAATTTAAATTGTTTTTTATTTAATATTTGTTTTGATTTTTTTAAATAATTCTTAGCAATTGAAATATTTAATTGATATTTATATTAGACTGCTAGATTCATCTTGAAATTATCCATTACCTAATGATTTTTTTTTATTCATGAAACTAAGTGATTAAAAACAGTTACTAGGTATTGTACCATAGATCAGAAAAACTAATACTTAAAAGTTCAATTGTATTAAATAAATTCTTACTTTGAAAATATGAGACTAAGGATGTCTGGCCTCAAATTTTGTCGATAGTCTAAAATCCATAATAAGTTATGTATATAATACTCGTGAATGTGAGTTGATCTATTATAATAAGGAAATTGGCTATATATTGATGAGACTAATATATCTTGACACCTAAAAATTTACATAAAACATTCAAAATTTTGCATCTCTAATGCAATAGATTTGTATACTTACATAGGGACTACAACTAATAATAAATTAAAAAGGGCATGCACATTGATACACTTGCTACAATCTTGATCTGTTGGTATTCCATCTGGCCAATCTGGGTCATTGGGATCTAAAAATAAATGGTAATTAATACCATATTTTTTAAGAATGTAATACCTATATATCAGTTAAAAATATATACTTATTGTACTTAGTTGGCTAAAATTAAAAAAAAATTGTTATTGCAAAAGATTTTGCAATATTGTCAAAAACTAACACAAATATTTTGAAAAAGGTCTAAACCTAAACAGTCTACTCAAAAGCTTTTATACATTAACAATGGACCTATAATCTCAAAACAATGTAAACTATCTGTATAAAATAAAAAATACTTACTAGGTAAAAATAATTTGACTAATCTATCAATCACCATTTTGGCATGGTAGTTATGAGCTGATAATAAATTAACAATAAAAGACTGATATTCCGAGACAACTTCAGGCCCTTTATCGATCCACTGAACGGCAAGTAAAGCCTCCACGAATAGCCTCAAATTTTGGTCCAAAACAGATATACACTCAGTAGCTTCTTTCAGTAATGAAGATAAGTCATTATCTGTCAATTTAGCATCCCTTATCATAATAACTAATTGTTCGTATTCTCTTGATTCCCCATTCTGGATATAATTACTGAAGATAGATTTTACTTTTTGTGTATGAGGTAGAACAAATGTTACCTTAGAGGGTTTATTCTGGATTTCACTAACTCTACTTGTTAGTGTTTTAGGTCTTTTGAGGATCGAGGATGGAGTAGACGACTGGCTTCGACTTCTGGAGGAGCTTTTTACGGACATTTTTGATATCAATATGTTCTATTACAAGTTTATGGAGATTATTCACAAATATCATTTGTAACATCCGTACGTATACGGACAAATAAATAATAAAACCAGCAGAAGTTGGTTTAGTACAAATATGAAACTTAGTTTATATTTTAATTACTAAATAAAATATTTTATACACGTGCTCGCTTTTCGCACCTCAAGTTGAAACTCGTCTCGATTTATGTCAGATTTGTCAAGTCGAAAGTAGAAATAAAAAATAAAAGTGACGTTGACAGCTACAATTCAATTAGTTCTTATATTCCAATAGCTTGAAAAGAAGAAATTCGTCATATCCGGTGTAGCCAACCTTTTAATTTTCACAAGTGAATTTTGACCACCTGAACAATCCTTCCTCCATGACCTGAACTAAAAGATAGATGTTTTTAGTTTTTAGGGTCGATTCCACCGTTGTGTGATACGAAGTTTAAATTCTTAACCGAAGATTAAAATGGCATTGTTAATGTAAAAATGTCATTTTAATCTTAGTTTAGTAATTTAAACTTAGTTTAACACAACGGTGGAATCGACCCTTAATAATTGATTGATCTTTGATCGATCACATAAGGCCATATTCTATGAATTTTGTATGCTTCATGTCAGGGTATTCTTGTTATTATATCTAAGCCTGAAAGTAGAAGGTGAACGGACAAATGTTGTATATTCTGTAACAATTCCTTTATTTATATATATTTAACGGCCTTTAAAAATATTGGCGGCCTTTAAAAATATGTTCGTATTCGTTAATTTACTTCTGTCATTATTTAAACAGATTTCTTTAAGATAGTCCTCTAATGTATTTTAAAGATCCGTTTAAATAATGACAGAAGTAAAGAAGAAAATATTTTTAAAGGCCGTTAAATATAAAGGAATTGTTACAGAATAGACCCCAAAATTTTCTATTTTTTTTTCTTCAGTTTGGCAATAATAAATTAATAGTTGCAAATGAAAAACAGAAATTTAAAAGAAGAAGAAAGATGATTAATAGGCGTTTGACGTTTCATTTTCATCTGTTTTCATTTTGAGATTTAAGAACGACCAGAATCCAGAATAGCAGTAGTAAAAAAGAATTTTTTATTAGAAAGACACGATATAATATCGAGACCCTAAAAATATGTCTCATCAAACAGGAATTAAAGGTATGTATTTTTACAAGTAATAGTTAGATAGTTTTCTTTTATAAACACTAATAAATATCTGTGTTTATACGATATACCTACTTATTGGCTAAGAATGATTTATAAATAAAATGTTATATATTTCTCGAAGGAAAAAATGTTTAGGTTCCTACGAATTCTTTTTTTCTCAAATGTTGTTTTACCATTTATTGAATAAAGTTCTAAGTAATTATTATCGTATTTAAAAATAATAAAGAAGGAAAATGAGTTTCTTTAATCATGTTTTTCCTCAGTGTGCTTTTAAAAGAGATCAATAATCAAATAAGCTATAAATTATATATAATTCTACACGTTGAGTAAACATCTTACCTATTTTCTGTTATATTTTAGCAAATGATGAGCTCAAGAAGTTTTTTGCCAGATGCAGAGATAGTATTATAAGATTAATCAAAATTTCAATAATAGATGGTAGGGTTGTATTTTCTTTTTGTTTCTTGTTTCACAATTATTTGTCATTTTTAGAACAATTGTCTTTAGATGGATATGAAAATGTTAAAGAAAATTGGGAAAAAGATTATGATGCAACCATTGGACCTCTAATTGAAGACGATCAACCATGTTATATTTTATATAGGTAGGTGTACTTATATGGGGAGTAAGTGACTATTGTAAAATTGCTATTTGAAATCCATACCAGAGTAATAATTGTTTGAAAAAATAAATAAATCATAGAAACTAATTCTGATTGACACAAATTCTGCAATTGCCCCTGAGAAATTTGTAACAGTTTAAGATAAGGCTGGTAGTTTCTCTTTAAATAAATAAATTTTGGTTCTTTTTTACATACAATGGATGAAAACAATTTTATTTGCTTTCATTTTAATTATAAAAAAATGAATTATCTTGAAAATATGTCAAATATTGCTGATAAAAACCACTATGTATATCATAAAATATGAATCATTAATCTTGTAATCTTTGGAATTTTCTTTACGAGACAAAATAATTTTATAATTTTGTTAAATCACTAGTTATGTATGTACCTGGAATTTTTTGTATATCTAGGATTGAGTTAAACATGCAAACCCAATTAGCCTATTTTATGTTAAAATACATTTACTTTTAGGTTAGACAGCAAAAATGGTTCTAACTATGAATGGTTGCTTATCAGTTGGACCCCAGACACTGCCCCAGTTCGTCAAAAGATGCTCTATGCCTCTACTAAGGCTACCCTTAAACAAGAATTTGGATCATCACAAATTATAGAAGAGATTCATGGCACAGTCTTAGTAAGACATTATCTGCTTTATTTTAATCTTAAAAATATTCAATGACACTATGGTTATACACATAAATAAAAATTTCCAGGATGAAACCGTACTTAAATTATAGAAAATAAAAACAATATACCGAATAAACCAAGGAAATTTTTATTTATATAAAATTCTACTACAGTCACGAAATTTTCCTTGTTGTTGGTTATTTACGGTTTTCTTGCAAATTAAAAAAATCATTTTGACAGTTTACCATTTCTTGTTAGATTTTCCTAAATAATGAGTAATGTATGAGTTTGGTTTGTTTTGTTATGTCATAATAAAAAGCACTGGCACACTTGAAAAAAAATGTATTTGTATTTGTTTTCCAATAGAATGATATCACCTTTAATGGTTACCTTAAATACAAGAGATCTGCTGCCGCTCCAGCTCCCCTATCCATGAGAGAAGAAGAATTAAATGAGCTAAAGAAAACAGAAGTAAATACAGAAATTAGTGTAGATACTAAACAACAAACGCTAGGTGGAGTAGCTTTTCCCATAACTGAGGCTGCTCAACAGGCTATCAAAGACATGGCCAATGGGTCTTACGATTATTTGCAATTTAGGATAGGTAAATAGATCAATATATTTTAGTTAGTTTGGTAAAAAAGAAACCAATGGACTAAAAAAAAATAAATATATTTTATTGAAATTTGGACTTTGATTTAATCTTTTATCTATTGCAGATATTGAGGAAGAAACTATTCACTTGGTGACTGCCGAGAATATTGTATTAGAAAAACTGCCATCCAAAGTTCCAAAAGACAGTGGAAGATATCATTTATATAAGTTTAAACATACCCATGAAGGGGATTATACGGAAAACTTTAGTAAGTGTCTAAAACACTGAATTTTATAAGATTGCCAAATCATGTACAATTAATTTTCTTAACTTCAATATAATATATCTAATTTCAAAGCTGTAAGTATTAAATTTTATTTTCAGTATTTATTTATTCAATGCCAGGTTATAGTTGCCCCATTAAAGAAAGAATGTTGTATTCTAGTTGTAAAAATCCATTGACTGACACCATATCAAATTTAGGATTAGAAATCAGTAAAAAGGTGAGTGTTTCATTCCATCTTAATAAACCAGTATATAATTTGACAAATAGAATTAATTTGGTATTATCAGTCAAATTGTATGTATACCTGCCTGTATACAGATAAGGAAAGTATAGGAATCATAATTTTTTTCGACGGATTTTTATGTTTTGGGGTCCCTGAATCCGTTTAGTCTATTTTCGTGATGATGTCTGTGTCAAAAAACACCAAAGTTTTAACTTAAGTTTTAATCCATCCTTCGGTTAGCTGATTAGATTTTGGGCATAGTCGGAACATCTGGGGAGGGGTACTTTAATAGGGACCTTTTTCTACTTTATGGAATATATGTTATTTATGCTCCGAGAAAAAAATTCTTCAAATAAAAATAGCTTATAATATCTATAATTTTTGTCCTATGCATAGTTTTCTTCGAAAAATTTGACAAGAAGTGCAAAATTCGAATTTTTAAGAAAATTGTTCAAATTACAGTTGTTTGTGATGTCATTCCCTATAATTTTGTTCTATACATGATTTATCTAAAATGATCATAAAGGAAAAATTTGAGGAAAAGTGTATAATTTTAATTTTTCAGTATTTTCGTTGACAATGAATATATACATGACGTCCCAAAAAAGTAGGCCAATCTGTTAATCATAAATACCTTAGGTCAGTGTAAGAAACCTCTATTACTTTTTTTCGATTGGGGCCATCATGAGGTAGGTGATATTTAGGCTTAAATTATGATTTGTCATCCCAAAAAACTGCGGTGTACCAATTTTAAGCCATCTACTTAATAAAACCATGAAAATATAATTAGAAGGATTTTTTTTTTATTAACTTACCCTGTATATTAAACATGATGGCCCCAATTGAAAAAAATAATAATTGAGGTTTCTTATACTAGCCTAAGGAATCTATCTATGGTTAATGGATTGTCCTACTTTTTTTGGACACCCTATATAAAAATGTTTTCAATAAGATGTGTGTGAAAAACGTATGTATTTAGTTCATCCTCTAAACATTTACAGGGGCGATAGAATAGGTTATACTAAATAACAAGAAAAAGCCTCTAATAACTAGATAATAGGAAAGTCATGTGTTAACACATTAAATTTTGATTTGACTAATCATACCAAATAATTTTTATTTGTTTATGAACAATTCTACGACGGTCAGAAAATTATAATTTTTCTAAAAATAGAAGTAACTGATTTTAAAGATTAGGTTATAATTTTTATTTTCTATTTTGTCAAGTTTTGAGCTGTATAAATGCAGAACTTATCAATAAGTTTGTGCAATTTTCGTGTTTTTTTTTGCATTTATACAGGACGTGCAGTTTATATTGTCAGGCATTCACCAAATCATAGTTAATCGAAAAAAATATACTTTGTCCAATAAACTATGATCCAATTTTGCTGTATAAAATTCAGGTATTATTCAGAGACATGTATGATTATTAGTTTATTTAAAAAAATTATGAATCCAAAATGCCACTGGGCGATATTTTTTTGTGTCGAAAATTAATCGGTGGGCCCTGTGAGCACGCCTCTGGAATTACTGGATCAACTGTAACGTATATGAAAGACACGGCATACAGTTGTCAACAAACTGTGAAAATTTGATTAAAATCAATCAAATGTGGATGCATCAATAAACAATTCACTACTTAAATATTAGGAAACAAACCACATTTTATACGGGGTGCTACTTAATGATAGGCCGTAACTTCAAGGGGGCATTTCTGAACCTAATTCAAATATAAAAGCCCATATTCGAGATACAGAGTGTCAAAGTTAAAAAATCGTTTTTTATTAATATCTAGGAATTGATAATTACAGACCAATCACCCTTCTTCCAGTTTTGGGAAAACTATTCGAAAAACTTATTAAGGTCAAACTATCAGCATTAGTAAACGAACGAATTCCGCAATTCCAATTTGGGTTTAGAGAACAAATCTCCGCTCTGGTACCAATCACTCTGCTGGTTTCCAATAGGCAAACAACAAAATTGAACAATAAAAAAATCTGCCATTCTCCTGTTTGACATTAAAAAAGCCTTTGACTGTGTCTGGCACAACGGCCTCCTATTTAAACTAAAACTTCTTAATGTGCCTGATGGTCTTATAATTCTTATCAAAAACTTCCTTCAAAAGAGAACTCTAAGAGTTAAAATAAATAACCACACATCTCCAAGTTTCATAGCAAATTAAGGTGTACCGCAAGGGTCGCCACTATCACTTTATAACATTTACTGCTTTGATCTTCCTTCAGGTCAGTTACACCTCAATGCAATAAATTATACATTCCAATACGCAAATGACACGGCCTTGATATCGCTGAATCAAACCATCACAGTACTACAAAATCAATATAACGAAGTTGTTCAATGGCTCAATAAATGGAGATTACAAGTTAACCCGCAAAAATGTCAATTAATGATACCCTATCATGATCTAAGACCGACATCACCTACACTCATTATATCTAACTAACCAATCTATCATGATACCCTATCATGATCTAAGACCGACATCACCTACACTCATTATATCTAACTAACCAATCTATCTCGTATCCTCAGTGAAATACCTAGGCCTTATTATTGCCGATGAACAATAATTAGTGGCACATATTGTTTTTTTTAAGTATCTTAATATTCTTAATATTCCTATTCATCTTACACATATAGCTTGTAAATCCTCATACATACTATACAAATTGTACTGACTGAAGGAACTAGGTCGATGGCCATTTGGTTGTAATATTCATAACCAATAAAGTGCTCGTATTATTATTATTATTATTATTAATATCTAGTGTTAAATTCGCGTCTTAACACAATGAACAATTACTGCCAAATTTCATCAATATTGGCAATAGATATTAATAAAAATAGATATATTTTTTTTTTACTTAACACCCTGTATCTTGAAAACCAAACTTTTAGGACACATGTTTGTATGAACTTTTATACTTTCAATTTGGTTTACAAATGCGCCCTTAGAATTACAGCCTATCATTAAGTAACACTCTGTATCTATTTTAAATGATAAACCACTGTTAAAAAATAGAGGCCTCGGTCATGCATATAGACATTTGGATCAAGAATCGCAAATTTAGATTCGCTTCTTGCCGACTCCACAAAAATGTCACATCTGTTTCTACTGTATTATTATTCCCCTCAAACCGTTTACGAGATCCCTATGATCTGTATCCTTATGTGAGGTACATTGCATAAAAAGTAATTCTGATTGATTTTATGTAAAATTTGATTATTAATAATATTTTAGGTTGAAGTCGATTCGGGAGATGAACTCACTGAAAAATACTTCTACGATGAACTCCATCCAACCAATAGTTTGCATCGACCCCAGTTCGCTAGACCTAAAGGACCACCAAATAGGGGTCCTAAGCGTATGACGAAAAGCAATCAGTAACTTTAAAAATGAAATATCGCTTTTAACTTTATCTTGTTCCTTAAATTCTAGATGTGTTGCTCAACAATTCGACGTTTCGTTAGCTTTATTTAATTGAGTATGTATTTATTTATGCTCTGTAATAAGATTTATTTATTTTTTCGGATGTGCCGGACAATACAATAAACGGAAAACGGGAAATAATTACTTTAACGTGCGATAATAGATTTTGGTGCTCAAGTTTCATGCTCTATTTCGGTTTAAATATATTTCAATTATTTATTATTTAGCCCTTTGCAATCAAATTGACATTTTACCTTAATACAATATAAAAATGTTTAAAGTTATGTCTTCCTTGTAGATACAGAAAGGGAAAAGCGTTTGTTATCAATTTAATGCTTAATTTTACATCTGAGTTTCTACAGTTCAATTTTAGTGTTTTGTGCTAGTAAACTAACTAGGATTTTTTGAAAACGGTTCCTGAAAAAACTAATAATTGACGTTTGAGTCACCATTTTTAGGTAACCGCGTCACTAATTTAACCAAATTTTCAGGAATGTCAAGCAGAGGGGTTAGTTTTGGACCGAGTAACTGATATTTGGTTAATATCGAACCATGCCCGAAAAAGCACAATTCTCATTGCGTTCGGTCTGCCAAGTTCCTTTAACACTTTTAACTCCAAACGACCCTTTTAGCGTTCGGTTTAGTCCGATTAGTGACAGTTTAACACGCTTAAATGTCATTTAAAAGCACCCTAAAATTTGTCCCGCTCCAGCCCCTGACTATCCGAAATAATGTCAGATGTCAAAATTGACAGTGACAATAAACATTTATTGCAGAATGCAACTTCTAGCAATCGAAAAAAAATATTGATTTGATAAGATTTAAGACGTTACTATATAGCTTATTCTTGCAAATCGAATAGTAACTTTACACCTTTTATTTATATAAATTATTTACAAGGTTGTCTAAAATAATAAATATAATTTTTATTTCTGTGTATTATTTAAAATTAAATATTATTTAGGGATGTCTGACTGATACATTTGAAATACAGAGTCTTCAACAATATCCTTATCCTGTGATCTGGTAACAAGAAATTAACTGAAAATTGCCTATTTATGGACTTTTATTACATTTTAATTGCCAGTTTTATCAAATACGTCAGTGTGATGGTTTTGGGATTACTGCTAAAGTTACTAATTTCACTTTTAGAAAACTGGTGACGAATTTAGTCACGTGGGATACGGATATTATTGAATACTTAAGATTTGTCACATAGTGAATGTATTTAATATAATTATATCTTGTTTTATATAGAAAGTTCTTCCAAATGTCAAATATTAAAAATTTATTGTAAACAACTTCATATTTAGTCATGAATTTTTGTTAACTATTATTTTAAGATATGATCTATATATTTTTCTATTATAGTAGCTAAATAAAAAGCTTTGTATTGATTTTTTCATTTTATATTTTATTTACTCCTTAGCCATTTTTCTACATCCTCGTGTGCAATCGGGTGGTGAACTGCATCACTTAGATCTTCCTACCCACAAGCCACTGATTATTGTGAGCCAAAATATACCTGTGATCCTTACAAAGACTAGCAGAAATTTTATTGGGACATCTCCAATACCCTGAGCTGTCAGAAAAGCCCTAGTACATTCACGTCATCATCAACATTCAGAGGCGTTTAGGTTCATACAAGTTTAATAGGAATTTTTAATCTTATTTGCGTAAAAGCAATAACAAAAATGCCTTTAGTTTCCTAAGGAAACATTTATTTATCCATTTATACGCAAATTGGTAATGAAAATACTGATTATTATTCGCGCTCAAAAGTAGCCAATAGAATATTAACAAATAGTTGCAACTTTGCCAAATATCAGCTAAATTACGTTTGAGTTATGTTTTGACCTCGGTGATAAAATGGTGCATATAACTTGCATTGCATAACACTCTCATCACCATGCTAACACAAACTCGTGGAATATTAATGTTTTGTATTTATATCTCTTGTACATAAAAGATGTAAAATATTTAGTCAAAATGTAATTTTCTTATTAGAAACATTTTACGAGGTGGGACATATATATCCCAAATAAACTCAAGTGCAGTGACGAACAGTAGAGTTTCACTGGGAAGGTAATGTATTTGTTGCTTCTGTCAGAGGCCTTTCGAGCTCCACAATAAGGCAAAATGGGCTTTAGTTTTTTTGAATATTAACCCCCTCCCCTTAAACCCTCATTTTAAATCAGATATTTTTCAAAATCAAAGTGCTTCTTCCCTTTATAGAGCTTCATTTTTGCTAAAACTTTAAAGTTGATATCTTTTTTCGTTTCTGAGTTGGGATTTTTTTGAATATATCAACCACCCTTAACCCCCCCATTTTTATTTATTTTCGAAATCAATAGGCTTCGTCCCCTTATAGAGCTTGATTGTTCTTGAAATTTTCAATTTGATTTAATTTTTCGTTTTTCACTCATAGTGCGAAAAAAACGTGACATCGAACGACGGACATTTTTAAAAGTCGTATAAAATTTGATGAGAAGTATTTTGGTACAATTTTTTTTAAATTTTACATATTTTGGTTTCTTGAAAGTAAATCTATGATACTCTCACACAGACTAGTGTGTGAAGAGTGTAATAATAAACTGGTCAAAATGTTTATATAGAACAATATTAATAAATAAAAAATCACCTAACATGCGCAATTCATTTTCTAGCAGTTAACTATGAAATAAAAACAAATTTTCTCACTAAACTTATCTTATCATAAAATAACTATCTTCCTGTACTTCCCACAAAATGCATTTATTTTTGTAATAATCGAAATATATTTGTAAATAATTAAGACACACTGTATAAACTGTCAGAAACACACAAATATTGTCCTGGCGAGACATGTGGGAAGAATAGTACCCACATAGTTTTGTTTCAAACTATATTAAAGAATTAGACAATTCCCTATTAACACCGTAGATGTTACGAGCAGTTCTCTGTTCTCATGAGACTTGGGACCTATAGTTCCCACTAAAACTACAGTAACTTTTATGTGGAGTGGGGAAATTATTATCCCAAAGAGATTTGAAGGGGTTCTGCTTCTAAAACACAAGATTCATAACACTAGGAAAATGGAAGATTAACAACTTTTAAATTATAGATTATTAAGGAACATGATGATCAGTTTTTTTATGTTTGTGGGGTACCCACCCCAAGGTGTTTACATATATAGTTATTTATTTATGAAACATAAAAAATACCTATGAGGATTCATATCTAAAACTTGAAGCTTATTTTTAATAGGAAACTCAACGTTTACCATTTATTTTTTGTAGATCTATTTTCATTGCATTTTAATTCATAAAACCAAACAGTATCAGTAAATTTTATCAACTCTACCATTTTATTTAGTTGCCATGCCACTTCATGCATTGTCCAAAATTGTTAAAATAAGCTCTTCCTACAATACACACAGATGCGATTCATAGAAAAATAAAAATAGACTTTTGGCAACAAAATTTTATTTCTCTGGATTTACTAACAGGTCATGTCCTGACTCATGAAAATTTAATTAATTTTTCAGCCACCTGAATAGTAAAATTTTGCTTAAGTATTTCGTAAATGATACAGTTACTTATGGACTTTTAAAAAATATTTTCCTTATCTATTAAAAAACATTTTATGTAACTCTTGCCTGTAGAACACTAGTGTAGATAAGTGATATACTTATTTATTTCATAAATTTAAATACGATTTGCAAAAAATAAAAACATTGTTTATATTTGATCACTATTTCGTCAATGTGATCTAATTTATTATTTAAAATAAATAATTTATAAAATATATACATGCACCTACTATTCACCTAATATTATTTCATCAATGTGATCTAATTTATTATTTAAAATAAATAATTTATAAAATATATACATGCATCTACTATTCACCTAATATTTTATGTTCAATACCAAGAAAAGTACCTGAAAATATTACATATTGTAAAATTATAATTAACAATGTTGAGTACATAGTCTTAAATATTTTTGGAAGGTGGCAGAGCCGTTGTTTACCAGTGTTTCTGTATAGAGGAAAAGACTACTGTTGCTATTAAATGTGTAAATCTTGAAAAAATCAATATGGCCCAAGAATACATTAATGAAGTGAAACTTCTGCAGAGGCTTCAGAACTGTGACAGAATTATAAAATTATATGCTTATCAATTTTGTGAAGGAGAAAAACAGCTATTTATAGTTCTAGAAACAGGTGGTAATGATTTTAGTACAGTTTTGAAAAGAACATTCCTTTACATATGCTAATTTTTTATTGAATGGAGATGCTTTTAAGTTAAACAAATATACGATAATGGTGTGATACATTCTGACTTAAGCCTTCAAATTTCATATCAGGTAACATGGGATTGAAGCTTATAGACTTTGGTATCGCCTGTAGTGTTGAAAGTGATATGACAAGTGTTTTTAAGTCTTGTAATTATATAAGCCCAGAAGCTTTACATAATGATGCTAAAAGTCCCAGTAAATTTAACTATAAATTACATTACAAATCTGATGTGTGGTCCCTCGGTTGTATTTTATATGAACTTGTTTATAAGAAGACCCCATTTCAACATATTAAGACAATATGGGTAAAGTTGTCTCAAATTATGAACCCGCATCATGCAAATTAAATATCCAGAAGCTAAATGGTTGCCTCCCAAAGTTATAGACACTATTAAAAAAATGTTTGCAGTATAATGTTAGAGCCAGACCATCAGTAGATGAGTTAATACCAGACTTTGAGAATTTTTAGTGCAATTTACCAATTTTTATAAATGACGTGAACAGTTTTATATAAATTATATTTGTTTTTTTTTTAATATTTTTTTCCTTTACACTATTTACTTTTTTCTACCTCTTTTTTACTATCATCTACTAAATTTGCAATATCTTTTCCTTTTTCACCTATTTCTTCATCATGTATTTTAATGACAGCAAAATTTTCTTTTTCTATGTATTCTGCCATTCCCTTCCTAAAATATTTAGTTCTGTTATCTTGCCAATGGTTTTGCCAGTAGCGGGCTTCCTGCATTGAAATACCAGCCAATTTTAGAAGTCCTAAAGTCGCAGCACCACAACCTAATCCCAAAACTGAGCCTACAAAAAAAATGCAGATTGATATTTTGAACGTGTAGGTATTTGTAGAATTTTAATATGAACTTTCTTTATATTTGTAAGTTCTTTTATTTAGAGCTTGCTTCTTAATACGTATATATGAAAATAGGTACATTTAATAAATACTTATGGTAATTTAACTAAAACTACCTAAACCTCCTCCAACAACCCATCCTCTTGGGCCCATATTAAATTTATACATTGTTCCTGTTAATCCTCCAGCTACTACATATTCTGAAATTCCATATTCACCCTTGTATGTTTGTATCATTGTTGAAATAGCTCTAAAAAGTATATTTTAAAATCTAGAAACATACAAAAATTGTTAATTACTCACACAAAACTTGTACTGAATAAAGCTATTCTCCATCCCCATTTGAAAGCACCTTTAGCAAAACTGTTCGTTACAGCTTCTTGCAATTTTTTCTAAAAGGGGAAGAATTATTGTATGTTACAATGTCAATTTAATGACTGAATCTTACCTTTGCTTCTAAATGATTTGCGAAAGAAGTTGCTTCATTGCTTCTCATAAATTCAAGGTATGCAGCTCTACTATTAATAACACCACCATATAGAGCTCCCACAAATATGCTCATGCATGCTACTTGTAAAATTGAGTTAACTTCGTTAGTTAAATTACCAAATTCACTAAAAATAAAGTCGTTGCTTAGTGTTCTAGCGGTATGAATAGATTTCTAGTGATTCATTACTTAAAGCAAACTTACTTTACTTCGAACATTTTCTTTAATCGATCCCATCCAGTTTCATTTTTCAATGAAGTTCTATCAGATTTTTTTTCGGTTTCTGTTAAATTATCTAGTTTATCAGCACTAAATATGTTGGCAATTGAAAATGGAAGCAAACAATATCTAGTACTATTTCGTAAAGTCGAAAACATGTTGACACTATTTTAACATTATTTTTATAAAAAAATCTTAAAAATTTCAAAATATCCAAATCCAAAATAAATTTAGGTTAAAGTTACATAACCTTTTTTCTTCTTCTTCCTTTTTTTGGGCTATATCCTACAGGACAATTTACCCAGCTATCAAAACGGGATTAGTTTATCGTCAATCGTTGTCTTGCTCTTGGCAATTGGATATCCTCAAGTAATATAATTAAAATATGTATTTGAAACTTCTTCACAGGATGCATAATCCCATTAAGGCAAGATTCACTAATCAATGGCCATTCTTATTTAAGATTTTTACAGAAACACATACACACAGAACACTCACATACACACATGACTCCCGGGGGGCTATTTTCAAAGTCGAGAGAATTCATTTCTCTCGAGAGAAATGTCATACGTCAACGTAAAACAGTAATTTTTAGGGTCCTAAGGGCCATTGTAAACTCACTGTTTGTTTCTCACGGTTTATTTAGAGATAATTAATATCCTCCTAAGAATTTTAATCCTCGAGGCCTTTAAAAACAGCGTTTCCACATTGACGTATGACATTTCTGATGAGAATCTTGAGAGAAATGAGTACTCACACGGTTTGAAAATAGGTCCCCCGGGGACCTATTTTCAAACCGTGTGAGTACTCATTTCTCTCAAGATTCTCATCAGAAATGTCATACGTCAATGTGGAAACGCTGTTTTTAAAGGCCTCGAGGATTAAAATTCTTAGGAGGATATTAATTATCTCTAAATAAACCGTGAGAAACAAACAGTGAGTTTACAATGGCCCTTAGGACCCTAAAAATTACTGTTTTACGTTGACGTATGACATTTCTCTCGAGAGAAATGAATTCTCTCGACTTTGAAAATAGGTGCCCCGATTCCGAGACCACCATTTCACCACGGTGTCAGAATCGGAAATCGGAAGTGAACCACAGAAAAGTGAACCGTTTTTCTTCTTCCAGTTCTGTTCCATAGATGATTTCTTCTTTTTCGTTTAAAGATTCCATTTTATTTTTTATCTACTTGGAAAATGAACACGGAACATGTAAAACAGAAATTTTAAAGTGGGCCTCACACTACGAGCAGTGTTGTTCCTGGTTGTACAATTGTACAAAAAGTTGTACAATCAGTTATGCGGTTGTACTGTTGTACGCACTTTTGAAAAAAGACAGAAATGTTGTACAATTTGAAATTGCAAAATATTTATGTAAAATCGGGTATATAAAAGGTTTTCTTCGCTCAAAAAGTCTACGATTTGTTAAATAGCATGCATCAAAATTAATAAAAAAATAAAAGTTTAAATTTGGCGCCATTCGCGACCAATCAGTACACCGTTATACATCAAAAATATATTTTAAACTGGAAAAAAGAAGAATTTTAAGCATGGGAAAGTAGTAGGCCATAGTGTGTCAATAAAAAAGAAGAAGATTAATTAATGGTTGTACAATCGAAAGTAAAAGTGCACAATTTTGACACTGAAAGTTGTACAATTCAAAAATCCCTAGGAACAACACTGACTACGAGTGCGTTTTGCAACTTTTGCGTGGAACCTATGTGCTGTTCCTAATAGCACTATTTGAACATGTACCATTTAAAAAAATATATAAATCAGAGCATATTACAAAAAAAATCTTGATTTTTCACCTAAATTTTTTTTAGTTATCCAGTTTAGCGTGGCCTGTTTTTTTAAATCGTTAAATAATGTAGCAGAAGCATAGTTGAGTAAAAGCTTCGAGCATATATATGCTCGAAGAGTAAAAGTCCACAGATGTCAAATGAAATGGTCATTTGTAAAATTTTCGATCAATAGGTTATGTTAATGTTTATATTTTTGACAATTGTTTATAAACACCTTGTAATGTGCAATCTAAAAACAAAATGTGATTAGAAAAATGAAACTCTATACAATTTTGCAACTAGGAATATTACTTTCCATTGCTTTAGTAATTTTTTATTTGTACAGCATTAGATTAATAAATACAACAGATGTTTATGAAGAAGACTTTGAAGAAGCTGAACATGAGATTACAACTGAAACAGTTTCATTTAAAAAGTGTTTATATCACAAATTATCTATTTATTTTATTAATAATTAACATTTTAGGACAGATATTGTTGTGGCAGTGGTTGCTTGTGGTGATAGATTATTTGAAACTCTCAATATGCTTAAATCTGCCTTAATGTTTAGCAAAGAAAGACTAAACTTTATTGTTGTGGCAGAAGACAGACTAATTGATAGGTTTAATGAAAAGGTAAGGGTTAGTTTTAGAAGCTTTTAAATTTGACAATTTAATGCTAAATTTAATTTATCAATAACATTACTATACCTTTATTCATATTTCAATTAAAAGGCTTCTTTATATAACTGGGAAAATAGAAGCATTCATTAAAAGAACAAATTAATGTATGTTAGGTGGTTCTTAAGGCCACATCAATATCAGAGTAAATTTTAACAGGGATTTACTAACTTGGGACTTCTTGTGCAGGAGGTATTTAAGTCCTTGATATTTTTAAAATTTTAGTTGGGTGAATGGAGAGCATTTATGAACAATGGTTTTACTTTCAAAGTTTTACCATTAACATTTCCTGCTGATAACCCTTTGGAGTGGAAAAAACTTTTTAAACCTTGCGCTGCTCAAAGATTGTTCTTGCCAGTGAGTATTCTTGCCCTATTTTTTACAAATATTTAATAAATATTCGAGATGCATGATTCTTAAACAAAAATCTAATAAAATGTGTAAAATATGTTGTTTTGTCAATATGAGATCTTAAAATTTCTTGTAAAAGTACAATGACATCATCTAAACTAGAAGGTATACTTGTAATAATAATAATAATAATAATAATAAACATATTAAATACAGATTTAAAACTTCCTAAATTTAGTTTGTAAAAAATATACATATGAAATCCAATTGATTTAAATACAGTATTTAAAACGTAAAAAAAAATATTGTTATTGTTTTAGAATCTTTTAGAAAATGTAGATTCAGTTTTGTACATGGATACAGATACACTATTTTTGACACCAGTAGAAACAGTTTGGGAGCATTTTCATAAATTCAATTCTAGTCAAATGGCTGCCTTAGCACCTGAACATGAGGATCCAAATGTTGGTTGGTATAACCGATTTGCCAAACATCCTTATTATGGAAAGCTGGGTGAGTATTGCTCTAAAAAACAAAAGGAATATTCTCAATGGTCAAATAATGTTGCCTTATTTTTCCTATTTTAATTTTATTACAATTTATTGCTTTTAATTTGGTTTTTTTTTTATTTAATTCACATCCAAAGAAAGTTCATTATGTCTATCAGAGATTTCCAAATTAGCTGTTTCAAGATGTAATACAGAATACAAATAATGTATACTTTTTAACTGACTTCAAAAAACAAGGAGGTTCTTAATTAATCAGAAATTTTTATGTATGTTCAGCCATAATGTTTTACAATGTATAGGATTCTTTTTTGTTTGAAAGGGGGTATTTCAGGGGTCGTCTCATATACATTTTAACAAGATATAATAATTGGATCTATGAGAAAATCATCAAACTCTTCATTTTTATATGTATGTTCAGTGATAATTCTTTACCACCTTGTCCGATTTCTATGAGTGTTTTTTTTTTTTGTTAAAAAGGGGGTACCTCAGGAGTGGTCCCTTATAAATTTGGTAAATATATAGTAATGGCAGATCTGAGAAAATCAGCAAACTCAATGTATAATGGCATCTGCACGATTTTGGAGTAGTTTTTTTTTTAATAAATTTAATAACTTGTTTAAATTATTCATAGGTGTCAATTCTGGCGTTATGTTGATGAACTTAACTAGAATGAGAGCCTTCCAATGGAAAGCATACGTGGTTCCTATTTATAAAAAATACAAGCTCAAAATTACTTGGGGCGATCAAGACATTATTAACATAATATTTCATTACCATCCAGGTGAGTGAACATTTATTTGGAATGAAATTTATTAATGCCTAAAATTCGCCGTGATTTTTAGATAAATTGTATATATATTCCTGCCGATTCAATTATCGTCCAGATCATTGTATGTACACCAGTGTTTGTAAACAAGCTGAAAAAGATGGGGTGGCAGTAATTCATGGTTCCAGGGGTTTTTTTCATTCTGAAAAACAACCCATATTTCAAGCTGTTTACAGATCTTTTGAGGAGGTAAGTATTATTATTTGTTTAGGTAACAAATTAAATATTTTATAGGGGGTATAGGGTCCAAAGCTATAAGCAATAGTGAACCATTTTACAAGCTTTTATTAGTAGGTTGGGTACTCTTGTTTTTGTTTAATCAGCCTTTATGGTTTTGTTACTAAAGATTTTTGTGAATAATGGTTTCTTTGAAAATAATTTACATATTTGCTATTTACTAGTCAAAATTAGTCATATATTCAGTATGGAATTTGAGAAAAAATCTCTATAAGAGATGTCTTGTATTTCTGTTTTTAGATGCAGTGTTGCATTATAACCATATCTAGAAAGGTGAACATTTATAATAAAACATGATGAATACATATATTGATATGGTATGACAAACCCTCATATTCTTAATTTATAAATGTCTTATTGGGGTTCATTTTCTGAAATTTTTAAAAAATCGAAATTTTAACAAAATATAACAAAAAACCAAGGAAATTTTTATTTATATAAAATTCTGCTACGGTCAGGAAATCATCCTTATTCAAAAACTTCTTTGTATTCTTTATTATTTTTTTTTTTCGTCTTTCTTCTTCTTCACCTATTTATTTTAAATGCATCAACCTATCTTCTTACCTTTGTCTTTTTCTACACCTACTTGCCCTATTTCCTTCTGTCTTTTCGTATTTCTGCTGCTACACCCTTTCTAAACTTATACATTTCTGTTCACCTTCCCCTTTGGGAGAAGTATTCATCAACAACAACATGGTCACTTTAAGATGGATCGAAGGTCACGCCACATCGAAAGGTAACCGTCTTGCTGATTCACTGGCCAAGAAAGCAGCCAACCAAATACTTTTTGGACCTGGCCCTTCTATTGGCCTGACAAAATTGGTAGTGACAGACCTAATTAAAGAACATTCCCTTGTGAAATTCAAGGAAAGATGGGATGAAACAAGAAACTGCAGTATTGCCAGGGAGTTATCCTGACAACACTGCAGCAAACAAATACTTGACTATGACTAGACAGAATCTGTACCTAGTGACAGGCATTCTGACTGGTCATTGCCAAGTACGGAAGCGTGTCCATATCATCGGGCTGTCAGAATCCGCACTATGCAGAGGGTGCGAACAAGAAGATGAGACCATCGAGCATATCCTCTACGATTGCTCGACGCTCTCATTTATTAGGAGATTTCTGTTCGGCGAGTATCGGCTAACACCGGTCGATATAAGAGAAGTACCGCTTGGCGACGTTGTCAACTGCATTAAATCTGTAGGCTGGCTCAAGAGCTAAGAGGTGCCTATCATCTTAGGAGGATGCACAATGGGCCTAGTGAGGCCTAAGTGCCGTTGGGCAACCCACCCTCCACACGTTACAGATACAGAGATACCTCCCCCTTTCCTTTTTTGTAAACGTACACCTCTACTTCCTCTGCTTCCTTCCAAATCATTCTGTGCTTTATTTCATTTCAATTTCAACCATTTATAAAGTAATTTAAATAAAACGTACACTTTTTCTACCCAAAAATATGATTGAAGGTGATGTCAAGGTAATCAACGATGAAAAACTACTGGACTAATCCATTCATTTATAATTAAGTCATTAGTTTCTTGTAAGTATTCTACTCGGGGTTTATGTTTAGAAATATTAAGACGCCTACTAAATTAAGTGGGGATCGATTGTGTAGGCGCGCGTTTTATGAATAAACCTTCATTATAATAATAGTTGAAAGCCTTTTGTGCGTTTTAGAATCTTATGTTAAGTAAATTCCGAATTATAACTATAAATAATCCCTGTTCGTCATTAATCCATGTACACTTATACTGTAGTATTAAAATTATACCTTGAAATCTTCATTTTTAAATATTAGTAATTTTCCCATTTTTTCATTTATAAAAAAACATTTTTTTTTTTAAGTTTCAGTTAGGTGGTGACATATACAGAGACTTCTACCAACCGCTTGAGGTGTACCTAGAAAGCTCCCAAAACAACAACTGTGGTAACGTCAAGGAAATATTTCTTAAAAACATCCGTAAATATATGGATCTTGACTTTGAAACTAAATAATGAACGTCCAATATTGAGCTTAAATGTTTATATAATATACTGTTAATATTTTAGGCAAATATTTGATATAATGTGATTGCCATATTAGGTAAGTCTCGATATTTTATGTTTGGTTGTTTATTGTTTAATGATTTTGAATCTCGGATTTGATATTCCTTCAATTTCTGTACCTGTAAAGTAAAAGTGCAAT